ACCCTAACCCTAACCCTAACCCTAAGCTTTGGTCGCGCGACCGGCACTTCCGCCTGGACTTCATTCGCTAAGTCTCTTTGCGATCCCAACGCCGACATCGAGTGCGGACGATCTGTATGCAGCCCTTGTTACAGCAGCTTGCAGCACCAATGTCCGCCTCAACCTCAAGCGCTGCCAAACAATGGACGAAGTGTTCGACTTTGACCTCGAGGAGTGGGCTCTGTCGGTTGAGAAGTAGCACGAGTCGAGTAGCGCTTTTCTGCTGTAACACAATCGCTTGTAGCAAGTGCCGTAGGAGGAGCCGGGTGCGAGCGGACCGCGAGAGGGGAGCTCTGGACGAAGAAGCGGGAGAGAGCAGGACGATGTCTTGCGAGCAGCAAAAGGGCTGTGAAGCGTCGCGTTCAGCGTCGAGGCGTTGTCGAGAGGACAGGGTATTAAGCAGGGGTAGAATGAGGCCATGATATCCTGGCAGCGAGAGAATGCGAAAGCGTAAAGCGGGAAGAAGTGAGCGGGGTTCGGTCCCACGAGCGCGGTGCAGCGTCCTCCGCATAAGCAGTACTCGCATGGGCGTTCAAGTGTCCCACGAGAGTGACAACCCCGGCGCGAAGCGGGATTGGCGGCCTGTTGCGGGAGTGAAAGGGTGGGAGGACGGGCTGGACGACGCGGAGCCAGATCGATTCGCCGAGCTGCCCCGCCATGAGAACGCCTGCATTTGGTGCCCGCAGTCGAGCAAGAACGCCGAAGAGTCGCTGCAAGCGTGTTATCGCCGGACGAGGAGCAGAGCGGGAGAACGGCGTGTCTTCGAGCTTGGGAAGCCGCGTCGGTGGACTGAGAAGCACGTAGCCGCACAGCAGTCACGAAGCAGCATCGAACAAGCCCTGTCCAGCCGTGCGAGCCATGTCGAGTGACAAGTCGCTGGAAGAGAGACGAACTGGTCTCGCTCGTCCACTTCGCGGTCACGGCTGACTGCGCGCGCTCGAGGGACTGGCTGTGCTTGACTGGGACTGTGGACTGACGCCGTACACGAGTGCACCCCCGCCGACGCCGACTCGCACGACACCATCTCGCTTGCCGGCACTCGACTGCTCACTCGGCACGACGACGGCTTGCGCGGACGCAGACGGAGCTCGTGTGAGGCCATTCACCTCGTGTTGCGAAGGTGGGCCAGGAGCGAGCCCTTACACGAGGATGACGGAGCGAGGATGAGATGAGGATGGACGGGCGGTGTGGGAGGATGAAGTGTCGGAGGCTGGATGAGTGGGAGGTTAGAAGGTCGCGAGGAGCGTCGAAGCGGGCTGCAGCAGGATGAGACGTCGCGTCCAAGCTTGCAGGCTGGTCGGGGGTCTCGATACGACCGGAAGTGCGACGAGGAGGAAGGGCGGGACGGTCAGCGCTGCGTTTCGGGCGGATTCACTGTCGGAAGAGCTAGGTGGTCACGTCGGAGTGCCTGGAACAGCAGCAGCCCTCCTCCCCGTCGAGTTGAGCCGCTTGCTGAACCTCGCTTTCTCTCCCTCCCCTCATTCCGTCACCTTGTCGCCTACCCGCCCCAAGCAGCTCGCTTCTCCTCCTTTCGCTTCGACACCTCGGCTCAGTATACCCCCGGCCGTGCGACGCGGCGCATATAGACGCGATCGAGGATGTTCTTCATTGTGAGTCTCGCTCCTCGACCCTCCATCCGTGTTCAGCGTCGGGCGTTCTCTCCCTTTTGGTGGACTGACAGTTGCCTCCTCGCTCGCAGAAACTGCTCACGCAGGACCTGATCATGCATCCGTCCTACTTCAACCAGTCTCTGCGGGGCTACCTCTCCGCCGAGCTGCGACGACAAGTCGAAGGGACGTGTTCCGGCCGGCTAGGGTACATCATCGCAGTGATCGGCGAGGAGTACGAGAACAGCGCGGACAAGACCCACCGAGGGCGGATCATGGAGGACGGGCAGGCGGTGTTTTCGGTCAAGTACCAGGCGGTCGTGTACCGGCCGTTCCGAGGCGAGGTCGTCGACGGTGTCGTCTCGAGCGTCAACAAGGTGCGTCGACCAGCCGGCTACCGCCGCGTCTTGTCGTCGATCGTGGTGGAAACAGCTTGATCTCGCTGTCCGTTGCTCACGCTTTCGTCCCCGCCTCGCAGATGGGCATCTTCGTCGACGTCGGCCCGCTGCAGTGCTTCATCAGTACGCATGTGCGTCCGCCTTCTTCGCTCTCCCTCCCGCTCTCGCGCTGACCTCGCGCGCCGACAGCTCGTCCCGCCCGACTTCAGCTTCGACCCGAACGCGAATCCGCCTTGTTTCGCCAGCTCGGAAGACACGGTGCGCCCAAGTGGCCCTCACAGCTCTCGAACTCCCCGCTGACGCCGACATCGTCCCACAGCTCACGATTCAGAAGGGTACCAAGATCCGGCTGAAGATTGTGGGTACGAGGGTGGACGCGACGGAGATTGTGAGCACTGCGTTCCCCCCTCACTGCATGCTCTTTCCAGTGGAGATGGCTTGCGAGTCGGATACCGTAGTCAGGTGCTGACCCTCTCTTCCCGCAGTTTGCGATTGGGACGATCAAGGAGGACTACCTCGGCCCGCTCGGCTAGCCCAGCGTCCCCGCCACGCCCATCAACGTCAGACGTCCCCGTCAAAGCCGCCGTCGCCCCCAGAAGTCGTGTTGTACCACCATCTCGTCGTCCCTAAAACCGCGGACTCGCCCGCGCTCACCTCGCATTTTCTCCATCCGCCTGGCCGATACCCCGTCCACCCAGCCGTACTCTTACACTCCTTCTCGCTGCAAAAGACGCCTCGTTTAGCATTTCCCTGCGATCGAAAGGTCAACTTGCGTCTCCGGTCCGCGCTCGAAGTCGAGTGACCCTTCGCCGCTCGCTTCTCTCGCGCTAGACTCGCTCGCTCGACTCGAGACACACTCAGACGCTCTCGCAGTCCACTACAACCCCGCCCCGCCCCTTTCTCCCGCCTCGTTCGCGCCTGGTGAGCTTGCACCGCATCGCCTCGACTGGACTCGCGGTATACTCGGCGGCAACGCGTTCGCGAGCGCTGGGCGAATGTACAGGTGCTGGATACGCTACTCGCGGAGCCCTGCTGGCTTTGGCGTTGTGCCGGGAGGAGATTGACGGAGTTGCGAGGATGTGGAGGGATCCGGTTCGAGGAGGGACAGCTGAGCGAGCGGGCTTGTTGGCGAGTTCAAGGGTGGGACAGTGCAGATTATAGGAACGGCTGGCTGTACTGAGGCGGCAAGTGCGGATCTGGGAGGATATGCGACTCGAGACGCGGCAACTCTCCCTCGAATCGGTTCGCTGACCTGCCAACGCCTCTCCCACAGCCATTTTCGTCGACATGCAGGTCGACTATACCACGACCAATGCGACTACCGCCGCACCCGTCCCCGTTGTTCGTCGAGCCGCCCCCTCCGCCCAACTCCCGACTTCCTGCTGACCTTCCCTTTCCTCGCTGCGCAGGAGGGCGCGACGTCCGCCGACTACTATGCCGACTCCTACGCTCACTTTGGTATCCACGAGGAGATGCTCAAGGACGAGGTCCGGACGTTGAGCTACCGGAACGCGATGTGGCACAACAAGCACCTCTTCAAGTGCGTCCGCCCTGTCTCTCTGCTACGGGAATCAGCGTACTTACCTCCATTTCACTTGCAGAGACAAGGTCGTCCTCGATGTCGGCTGCGGAACCGGAATCCTGTGCGTGCCGCTCCTCGCGATTCTCCCTGTGCGGTTCCTTAGTCTGCGCTCCACAGCTCGATGTTCGCGGCCAAGGCGGGTGCGAAGAAGGTCATCGGCGTCGACATGTCCAACATCATCGACCAGGCGCAGAAGATCGTTGCGGCGAACGGCTTTGCGGACAGTGCGTCTCGCTCACTCGGCCTTTCAGACGAAGCAAGCTGACCCGCCGTCCTCGCAGCCATCACCCTGATCAAGGGCAAGATGGAGGAGGTCGTCCTTCCCGTCGACAAGGTCGACATCATCATCTCGGAGTGGATGGGCTACTTCCTGCTCTACGAATCGATGCTCGACTCTGTCCTCTACGCCCGCGACCGCTACCTCGTTCCGGGCGGACTGATGTTCCCCGACGAGGCGACGATGTATATTGCGGCGATCGAGGACCAGGAGTACAAGGAGGAGAAGATTGGCTGTGCGTTCGAGGCCTTTCCTTCTCCCTGACGAAGAAGCTGACTTTGGTTCAAATCGCCAGTCTGGGACGACGTCTACGGCTTCGACTACTCGTGCATCAAAGAGATCGCGCTGCGGGAACCCCTCGTCGACACGGTCGACCTGAAGTCGGTCGTCACCAACCCGTGCAAGCTCGCGACTTTCGACCTCTTGACCGTCAAGAAGGAGGAGTTGACGTTCGCGTCGCAATTCAAGCTCGTCGCGACACGCAACGACTGCGAGTCTGCGCCTTGGAACGCTCTGCCGAGCTTCGCTGACCTGCTTTCGTTCGGTAGACGTTCACGCTTTCCTCGGCTGGTTCGACTGCGCGTTCCGAGCATGCCACAAGCCCGTCAGCTTCTCCACCGGTCCTCACGCCAAGTACACGCACTGGAAGCGTGCGTCCCATCACCCTCCCTCCTCTCTTCTCCTCGCTGACTTCTAGCTCGGCGCAGAAACCGTCTTCTACCTGACCGATATGGTTACGCTGCAAACGAACGACTCGATCGAGGGCATCATCACCGTCTCGCCGAACGCGCGCAATCCGCGAGACCTCGACATCGTCATCGACTACAAGGTCGATGGCCAGCATCCGCACCAGGAGAGGCGCGAGTACAGGATGTGCGTCCCTCCATTCCCTCTGCTCTCGAGTTGCACGTATCGCGAGCGTCTGACTGACCCGCTCGCCTTCCACGTCTCGCAGGGCATGATCCGCCGTCTCGCAGGAGAGTGTACGTCGGCGCGCAGGCGGAGGGGAAAACGAGCAGCGTGTATCTGCGGCTCGACGGACAGGTCGGCAGCTTAGCAGCATTGTGCAATCATCGAGATACCCATCACCTTGCACTTGTCCTCTCGTCTCCAGATGCTCGCATCTCTCGCTGCTCGGCTCGTCGCGACTGTCGATATTCGGTTCTTTGCAGAAAGTACAGCGGGGTAGAATGATCAAAAAGATGTGTCGAAAGGAACGAAAGGATGAAGCGAGGAAAGGAAAAAGATAGATGCGACAACGTCCCCCCCGCCGTACAGACCGCCTCCGTCATCCACGCACTGTCGAGGCGAGCCGTTTAGTCTGCGCGCGGCGGAACGAGTCAGCAAGCAGTCGGGTGAAGGGAGAAAGAGGCCGCAACCCACAGGTTCGCTTGAAGGGCGGGATGGTCTTCATCTCGTTCTGGTCGAGCGTGTCGTGGACGACGTTGCGGTACGCCAGACGAGTCTTTCCCTCGACGTCCTTCTGGAACGAGAGGGTGTGCTTCATCCAGTTCTCGTCGTCGCGCTCCTGGAAGTCCTCGCGGGCGTGCGCGCCGCGCGACTCTTTGCGCGCTTCGGCAGAGACGATCGTCTGGTCGGCGCAGGTGAGGAGGTTGCGGAGCTCGAGGGCCTCGACGAGGTCGCTGCGAGGGAGAGAGAGAGGGAGCGTCAGCGACCGAGACGCGCGACGGTAGGTGGGGCACGCTCACGAGTTCCAGATCATGGAGCGGTCCTTGATGCCGAGGTCCTTCCAGGTGGAGCGCACGCGCTCGAGCTCCTTGACTCCGTTCTCGAGCGAGTCCTGGGTACGGAAGACGGCGGCGTCTGCCTGCATGGCCTTCTGCATATCGAGGCGGATCTCGGACGTGTGCTTGGGCCCGTTCGAGGTGCGGATCTGGTCGAGCGCCTGGATCGACTCGATGCCTGCGTTGTCCGAGATCTTCTTGTGCGGCTTGCCCGGCTCGAGGGTCGAGGCGATGTGCTTTGCGCACGCGCGGCCAAAGACGACAATGTCGAGGAGCGAGTTTGCGCCGAGGCGGTTCGCGCCGTGGACCGAGACGCAGGCTGCCTCGCCGGCCGCGTACAAGCCGGGGACGACCTTGTCCTCGCCGTTCTCGCCGACGGTGAGGACCTCGCCCGTGTACTTGGTCGGGATTCCGCCCATGTTGTAGTGCACGGTGGGCAGGACGGGGATGGGCTCCTTGGTGACGTCGACGCCGGCAAAGATGGCTGCGGTCTCGGAGATACCGGGGAGGCGCTCGTGGAGGATGTCGGGCGGGAGGTGCGAGAGCTGGAGGTAGATGTGGTCCTTGTCGGGACCGACGCCGCGTCCCTCGCGGATCTCGACCGTCATCGAACGCGAGACGACGTCCCGCGAGGCGAGGTCCTTGGCCGTAGGTGCGTAGCGCTCCATGAAGCGCTCGCCCTCCGAGTTGAGGAGGTATCCGCCCTCGCCGCGCGATCCCTCGGTGATCAAGCATCCAGCGCCGTAGATGCCCGTCGGGTGGAACTGGACAAACTCCAAGTCCTGGAGCGGGAGGCCCGCACGGGCGACCATTCCCGCGCCGTCGCCGGAGCACGTGTGCGCCGAGGTGCACGAGAAGTACGCTCGCCCGTACCCGCCGGTCGCGAGGACAGTCTTGTGGGCGCGGAAGCGGTGCATGGTACCGTCCTCCTGGTTGTACGCCATGACGCCGACGCACTCTCCGTCCTCCATGATGAGGTCGGTCGCAAAGTACTCGATAAAGTACTCGGTGTTGTGGCGGAGCGACTGGCCGTAGAGGGTGTGGAGCATGGCGTGACCGGTACGGTCGGCCGCGGCGGCGCAGCGGTAGGCCTGACCGCCCTTGCCGAACTTGAGCGACTGGCCGCCGAAAGCGCGCTGGTAGATCTTGCCGTCCTTGGTGCGCGAGAAGGGAAGCCCGTAGTGCTCGAGCTCGAGGACCGAGTTGGCTGCGCGCGCGGGCGAGCGAGCGAGTCAGCCGCTGACCGCGAGACGAGGGAGGAGGAACAGGAGTCGTCAACTTACGCGCCTCGCGGCACATGTAGTGAATCGCGTCCTACGGGAACGTCTCAGTCAGCACGATCCCCGCAACGGAAGAACCCCTACGGCGGACGCACCTGGTCGCCCAGCCAGTCGGACCCCTTGACGGTGTCGTACGCATGCCACCTCCAGTCATCCTCGGTCATGTTTCCGAGCGCGGCGTTGATTCCACCCTGGGCAGCGACGGTGTGAGAGCGAGTCGGGAAGAGCTTGGTGATGCATGCGGTCTTGAGACCCGACTCTGCGAGACCGAAGGCTGCGCGGAGACCTGCTCCGCCTGCGCCACTGTGGGTGTTGCAGCGAGTCAGCACGGGTGCAGAGAGCAGGTAGTGAAGGGAGGGGGACGCACACGACGATGGCATCGTACTCGTGCTCGATGAGCGGGTACTTGCCAGAGACGGTCGTCTGTTCGAGGTGCAAGTCGTCCACATCGCCGAGGGAGGCCGCAGGAGCCGAGATCAATGGTCAGTGAGCTCGTTCACTCCAACGGCATACCCACTGAGTCCCCAGTTGCCCCCGATCCGCCAGAGAGAGGCCGCCCGCGGCACCCGCTTCGAGGATCGCGAGTCGCTCGTCGTCGCCCACGGCACGAGCTGTGGTCGGACCAATTGGACTCACGGGAACCTCCTTTGCTCGTACAGGCTGGGTGGCGACCACGCGTGCGCGCGGTGCGGATGTCGAGAAACCGCGGAGGGAAGGGGTGGCGCCTGCGATGGAGGGCATGTCAGCTCGCGCGAGTTGGACTGGCGTGGTCGTGTGGGCGACGAGACTGACGCTGTGCCCTCGATGCGAGTGACAGCATTGTCCTTTGCAGTGGTTGGGCGAGTGCGAGAGCGAGAGAGTCGCGGTCGCTGCCAATCGCACAACTCGCATCTCGGAGGACATCGGGTCAACTCGACTCGCACAGCTTCCTGTGGCCTAGTAACACTCTCTGCCACTCCCAACACACTCTCTCACCGCACACAAACTCGAACGGACTCGAACGAGCACGCGACGCCGTCTCCTCGTCCCGATCCTCACCCTCGCTCACTCCTCGGCCTGCGCTCTCACGCGGGCGAGTATTGCGAGACTCGCGCTGGCTTGCGTGAGCGCGTGCAATGGCGGGCGGGCAGCACCGGGATAATCCGGGGAACGGAAAGGTCGACTGGGTCCTCCTCCTCGTCGACCTCGCATTGCCTTTCTCTCGCTGCTTGCTGCTTCGTTTGGGATTACTCCGTGTGCCAGGACTGCTTCATGTGCTCCTCACGGCGGCTGTGCTCCAGCGACGGCTTTTTACCGCTCTCCCGGCGCAATAACTCGTCTCTCGCTCCCTCCTGCTGCGCTCGCGACTCTCTGCTCGCCACATCGCCTCGCACGACATCTGCTCACCCTCGGCCGACGTTGCATACGGTATACCTCCCCAGTACCAGCTCACGGCGGAATCTCGCAAAGCTCACGCAGCTCGCCATCCTCGTCCACTCCCCCTCGTCGTCGCTTCGGCCTCGCTGTCCACCTCGCTTGGCCCGCCGGCTTCGCTTCTTGCTGCACCGACACAATCGACTACTGTCACTGTCTGCGCCTTGCCTCGCGAGCCTGTCCTACATAGGGCAACTGTGATTCCTCCTTGTCCTGGCTTCTTGGCTTGAAGGATCCTCTTCACCGCTTGCTCCTACCTCTCCTGACTCTGTCTCTCGCAGATTGTGTCCAAATGAAGGCTTTTTTGCAGCTTGCGAAACTGAGCCAGGTCGAGGAAAGACGGCTGAGCGTCCGGGAGCGTTCGAGGAAGACTCCTCGCTTCGCGCTCAATGGTCGGCGTTCTGTCGAGAGTCCCAGCAAGTTCCGTCCGCTCGCTCTGAATGAGCATTGCACAGCGAGTCCAGGGTAGCAAGACCGAGGCCAGCGAGGCAAGTGCAGGGAGGAGGTGAGCAATTGAAAGACGAGTCGCAGGCTGGATGGCGTTGCGCGGCCTCGCAGGAAAAAGCGCGCAGCGACCAAGGTGCTCGTGAGAACGCTTCTCTCGCATTGCGGAAGCACCTCAAGCGTCTCAATGCCAACGTCTCTTGGCTAAACCCCCAAAGCCCAAACTTTCCCCTGCCCCCCACCTCCCTCAAACACAAACAAGTTCCTCACCGGTTCCTCCTTCCCTCCTACGGCATTGAGGATATCCTGGCCGAGGATCCCGCCGATTATGGCGGCTGTTGGGGGGAATTCGGTGGATTGCAGAGTGGCGAGGCGGCTGCGAGGGGGAGCGAGTCAGTGAGGAGTGAGGAGTGAGGAAGTAGAGGGGAGACGCACGAGATCTCGGACGAAGGAAGCACGTCCGCCGAGACGCCGATCTTAGGGAGAAGCGACTGAGCGGCGGAGGAGAGCTCGGATTCAGAGACGGTGGTGTAGCTTGGAGTGGAGGGAGAGGGGGAGACAGCTCGTTGCGCTGCAAAGAGGGCTGTGCGAAAAGGAACGATGGGTCCAGTCAGTTCTTCTCCCGTCTTGAGGAGAAGAAGAGCTAGACAAGGAGTTCAATCCACGACACACCCAAAACGCCCCACAAGACCGCCCCGCTGCGCTTCATCTCCCTCTTGCGCATACTCGCAAAGTTGTGTTCGAGAGCGAGCGAGAACGGGACGTAGGAGACGGTCGACTTGGTCGGGACGGTGGTCGTTTCGCCTTGCGAGACGGTTTTGATCTTGTCGCTGCAGGCGCGAGGGGCGAGTCAGCGTGAATCTGGCGCCCTGGGCCCACGTCCAGCGCGGAATGCGCGCGCCTCGAAGCACGCAGACAACGCAAAAGGGAGACCGGACCGAGACTCACACGACAAGCTCGTGCTCGAGCAAGTCTGCAAACATCCACCCGTCGATGCCGACGCTCCCGGCCGCAAAGAACTTCTTGCCGAGCTTGCGCGTGAGGTCGTTGACCTTGAGCTATGTGGCAGCATCACGCCAAGGCGGAAGTCAACTTCGACGTCAGCCGGTCGTCCCGAAGCCATCCCATGCGAACGCGCCACGCACCACAGTCGGCGCATCGACGTCGGTGACGACGACGAGGTCGAACTGGTCGAGGAAGGGTTCTTGGAAGAGGAGGGACGGGTCGGTTTCGGTCGAGACGGTCACGCGCGGGTTGAGCGCTTGTACCCGTGGTGCAGAGACTTCGACGCGCTGTGGCAGAACGCGCTCGCAGTCAGCAGGCGTTTCCTCTCCTGAGGAGGAGAGAAACGCAGGGAGCAACCCGCAACGCACCTTCTTGCCGACCTCGTCCTCCCTCGCAAAGTAGTTTGAGCCGAGGTCCTCCTCTAGCAGGTCTTCCCCATCCAGCAGCGTCAACTGTCCAACACCCGCCAACACGACATTCTTGACCGCATCGACCGCAATGCCCCTGAACCTGCCCGCAACCAACACGCGCGAAGCAAGCATGCGAGCCTGGGCTGCGGCGCCCCAGAGCCGGAGCTGGCGGTCATAGAGTTTGGCTTCGTCTTCTGTGATGGCCTTTTCGCGCGGCGGAGGGGCGGACATGGTTGGCTTTGCGGAGGGAAGAGGTGGGGAGGAAAGCGAGTGGGCGAGAGGGGGCTTGAACGAGTTGCGGCGAGGTGCGAGCTGATCTGGAGCGTGTGTAGCAGTCCTTTGAGCGCTATGACGGCCTGTCTGGCGGGATTCGAGCGAGTCGTCGAGTGAGGACCTGCGAGAGAGGTCGAGGGAACCTTTGACGAGAACCACACGCTGCCACGGCTCGCTGGGTCTGGTGCTGCAGCTCGATTGGTAAACAGACCCGCTTCAAAGCTTGGCGACCTGCGTCCGCCGACCCGCACCGCGTCGTTGTTCCGGACGCTCGCCTCCTCGATTCTCATCAGTTGGAACGGGTGCACGGCGATGGCGGAAGCTGGGAGCTCCTTTTATGCGTGCAGACGGTCCGCTGACTCAGTCTTTGCGACGGCAAGCTCGAATGCTGGCGCTTGAGCCACCGTGCGCGGAGACATCTCTCTCCTGCTCCCATCGACTGAACGAACGCGTTGTGTGACAGCCGGGTCAAGCTGGCACTCACTGTGGCGCTGAGTGTATGCTCTGGTTGATCCAGCTCTTCCGCCAAACTGCGCCCGCTCGACTGGACTCGCCATGGGCTCACTACGCTCCTTTGACCCGCGTTTCCTTCCACCGGTGCCGCCAACATCGCCTCATCCGGTTACGCACTGGGCAGCAGCTCAAGATTATACGTCGGCTGCACAGCTCGCATCAGCGAATCCGTATCCGCTTGACTCGGGACCGCAAGAGGCTCAGCCGCCCGAGAAGTTGGGGCTGGCTGACGCGCCTTGTTCGCCCGCGCCCGCCTACTCCCGGCTGTCACGACTACCGAGGGCGTCACGATTGAATGCGGAGGACCGGGCGAACGTAGAAGTGACGAGTGGGCAGCAATCAAAGCCGTGCCCGACGTGCAAAGAGAGGAAAACGATAACCCTCGCTCGTCAACCCCCTTCCTCGGGTGTTGCTATCAGTCGCGACACGGTGCATTGTATCGAGCGAAGACGAAAGAGTCTCTATGAGAGCGACCAGCGAGTGAAAGTCGTCGACCACCTCCTCGACTCTGCCCTCGAGACGCTCCTCCTCCCGCCTCGACCACCCGCAACGACCTGTGCCCTCGCCCAGCTCGCTAAGCACGACCCAGCATGTTACCCAGCCCAGCATCGCACCCGCGCCCTGCCCCCACGCTGCCCTCGCGCCCGTCCGCCTCCTCGCCCGCTCGCAACGTTTGGAGACGACCAGGACGACCCGCTCGCGGCGCTGTTCATTGGCGTTCAAGATGAATCACCAAGGAACGCTGCGTGCTGCCCTGTGCATCGTTAATCAAGCTGGATCTGCGCGCTGGCGAGGCGCCACGCCCCCTTCCCCTTCCGGCGCCTGGTTCGTGGTCTCACTCCGAAGACTCAGGCTGGATCTGGCGCAAGACAGTGTGCTTCGCAGGGACAGGCAGGGGCCCGGTCTCGTAGCGGAAACGCCTCCCGAGGCTAGAGCCGCCCGCGCCCTCCTCACCTCGACCCGACCTGCTATTCCTCCTCCCTCCCTCCCTCACGCCTGCGCGCTCGCTCGTACTCTTTACGCTCACGCTCCTCTGTGCTGTGTTCTCTGTCTTTGGCCTGACCCGCCTGGCCACTCCTCTCGAAGCCGCACCGAGTCCGCGGTCCCGGTCTCCGCAGCTTCTCCTCCTTCGTCGCCCGCCGACGAACCACCCACACCGCCCATCTCGGCATCGCACCTCTCCTTTCAGCCTTCCAGTCGTCGTCCAGCAGCGGACGGCCTTTCCAGTCGTGCAGGTCACGACCCACCTTCCGACTCTTCACACTCGTTCGACAACCCCTTCGCGCCACATTCTCCTTCCCCTAGTTTAACGACCACCTTAACGAGCGCAACAACACCGACATGCACATCTTCTCGGCCCTCGCTCCGCTCGCCATCCTCTCCGCCCGCCTCGCATACTCGCACGCCGCCCCTCCGAATCCCGACAAGCTCTACGCACTGCAGCAATCCGCCGCATCCGTCGCTTCGACCGCCTCTTCAGCTGCAGAGACCCGACATGTGCATGCGGGAGGGAAGCACCACCCGCGCGGGGAGGTCGTGAAGCGGCATCACCATGTGCAGGGTGTGCACCATGGACGGGCGAGGAGGGCTGGAAGGGTGATGGAGAAGCGCGCGAGGGGCGAAGAGGCGACGATTAGGAGGTTGAAGGCGAGGCAGGACGACTCGGGGTCGGGGTCGTGGTCGTGGTCGTCGGACTCGGCTTCCATCGAGGCGGCTGCTTCGACCGATGATGGTTCGAACGACCTCGAGGCTCGCGCGGCGACGCAGATCCCGCTCGCTAATACTCCTGCCGCAAGCGACGACGGCAGCTCCGCTTCGTCGACTGCTTCCTCGTCAGCCGCCGAGTCCTCCGCCTCCTCCAAGTCCAAGTCTACCCTCTACGACTCTTCCTCCGGCTCCTCCTCTGGCGGCTCGACCGACGGCGTGTGGATCGGCGTCTCGTCGTACTACCTCCACGCGATCGCCGACGACGACCGCCACGCCATTCTCGACGCCGTCAAGGGCGCTGGGTTCAAGGTCATTCGGATCTTTGTCGCTTCGATCGGTGCGAACAACAAGGGCAGCAACAATCAGGCTGTCAACGACCGTGAGTCGCAAGAGTTTCGAACTTGGGAGAGCCGCGCTGACGCTCATTCTCCGTCGCGCGCAGTCGAGCCGAGCCAGGTCGGCACCTACGACGACACGATCCTGAATCTGATCGACCAGCTCATGTACGACTGCAAGCAGCGCGGTCTCAAGCTCATGATCGCGCTATCAGACCGCTACGCCCTTGGGTTCTGGTCGACCGACTCGTACGCGACGCAGCTCAACATCGTCAAGGCCGGCTCGTCGGGCGTGCAGAAGGTTGCGGACGCGAGCTCGTTCTACACGAGCGAGTGGGCGATCGGGATGTTTGAGAAGCGCCTCGCGCATATCATGAACCACCAGAACCAGGCACTCGGCGGGAGGAAGTGGGCCGACCTCGACGATGTCATCTACGCCGTCGAGCGTGAGTTTGCGGTCGTCTTTTCGTACGTTTGCGAGTGTTGCTGACGCTGCTTGTGCGTCTCGACGCAGCCCAAAACGAGCCTCAGGGTGTACGCTCGATTTCCCTCTTCCTACTCCCCCGCATTCAGCTAACCTCGCCCGCTACGCCCCTCAGCACATGAGCATGGCCTCGTCTACCTGGGCCTGCGACCGCGCGTCATACCTCAAGTCTCTCATCTCGTCCAACATCCTCATCTCGTCGGGCGGCGGCATCACCCTGACCGACTCGCTCGGCTCGTGGGCTACGGGCTGCGACTCGTTCGACATCGTCTCCGTGCACGACTACGGCACGTCGGCCAGCTCGACGGCGAATGCGCTCGCGGCCGCGCAGAACGACCACCCAGGAAAGAAGGTCATCATGGGTGCGTTCCTCCTCCATTCCTTCTCTGGACTCGCTACTCACTCTCCTTTGTGCGCAGGCGAGTGGGGCATCGCCGGCGTCAACAAGGCGGCGATCATCTCGCAGTTTGTGTCGGCGTTCAAGGCCAAGGGCGTGAGCTGGAGCTACTGGGAGATCACAAAGCCCGGCGCCAAAGCGACCGACTTTGAGGTGCGTTTGACGTCTACCCGTCCCACGAGCATTGCTGATGAGATCGTGGAGCAGATCTGGACCGACGAGCCCGCCTGGCAAGCCTTGACCGGCCAAGCGTACTTTACCCCCGTCGCGACGACCTCCGCACCGGCATCGACCTCGCGCGCCCTCAGTGGCGGTGCCGAGCACTCGCCGTCCTACACCTCGTCGTCGTCCAAGTCCGCCGCCGCGACCAAGTCCGTCTGGCACGACTCGTCCCCCTCGTCCTCTTCGACCACCACGACGCCGCAATGGCACGCCGCAACATCCAGTTTCTCTTCCTACGTCGCGAAAGCCTCGAGCGCGGCGTCGCAGGGCGCGCAGCAGGCGAAAAGCGTCTGGAAGGAGCAGACGAGCAAGGTTGCTGCCGCTGCGTCGTCCGCTTGGAGCGACAGTGGCTCCTCTTGAATCCGCTTCACCCCGCTCTCCTTTCCGCATTCCTTTCGCCGTATCTATCCCTTCCATCTCGGCGCATGAGTCCAGCACCTCTGCGAGGCGCTCGACTTGCCGTCGCTATATACCCCTTTCACACCGTCACACATCCTGTAGCACTTAGCCTCCCCTCCCTCGCCTGCCCTCATTTCGCATCTGTAGCCCCTCTTTGACTCGCTGGCTCGCGCTCGAGGACAGGTCCTCCTTCTCTCTGCATCGAGGTCCTCCTTCTCTCTGCATCGAATCCGATCCGTCTCTCCTCCGTCTTTCCTCGCGACGAACGAGAGTGCGAGAATAGTGACGACGGCTTTGTTGAACGGCAACACTTCAAGTACTGCGAAAGAATGAGAAGAAGGGCGAGGGGAACGCGGGACGGAGGAGCGCGACGCGGAGGGTTAGTTACATCTTGGCCATCCTGCTTCCACCGTCGATGCGGATTGCTGCAAGTCCGTACGAGGGATCAGCTTGCGTACTCCATCGTATTCGAGCCAGACGGCAGAGCGGAGGTGGAGAGGAGGAGAAGGTCCAACTCACTCCCGCCGTTCAGGTACCCATTCTCGATGATCCCAACCGCGAGCTTCGCAAACTCTTCTGGCTCGCCGAAGCGGACGGGGTGGAGGGTAGTGCTGAGGAGTGATTCGCGGACTCTGTTCCCGCGCAACTGGATCAGCTTCGGGAGAGGGAAGGCGAGAGCAAGGAAAAGAAGGACGGACTTGGGTGGGGTATTCTTGCCCATGTTGGTGGTGAAGAGCGAGGGGGCGATGGCCATCACTCGGATTCCTGCGACGAGCGAGAGCGAAAGGAAGCGCTCGTCAGCGAAAGTCTCGTGAGTAGCCCATCTCGACATCGAGCGCGGGTAATGGTAGATAGCACCGCACGTCCGCACGTGCAGGGTGACACGGCCGACTCACCATGCCGCGCGAGATCCCTCGCCATAGGCAAAACCAACCCCTGAACACCGGCCTTTGAACTCGCATACGCGACCTGTCCCATCTGTCCCTCCGTTGCGCTGACCGAGCTCGTCAAGATGATGACTCCGCGATCGGCTGTGAGTCGTTCGGCCGAAGAGCGCGAGGGCGAGGGGTGCTGAGAGACGATTTCGGATGCGACGTTGGAGGCGATGAGGAAGGAGCCGATGAGGTTAATGCGGTGCACTTCGGAGAAGACGTCGAAGCTGTGGGCGATGTGGGAGCGCGTTGGTCTGGATGCGCGCGGCGGTGAATTTCTAGAGGAAAGGGAGCGCACGAGAAGGGAGTGCCGTCGTTTCCGACCGTCTGCTTGCACCCGAACTTGTCAGCGTCAGCGCCGCCATACGAGGAACTTCTCAGAATGGTCAAGCTCAAGGAGTCGGGTCCGCACCTTTCCCGCCATGCCGACGCCGCCGCAGTGAACGACGCCTCCCCATTTTTTGCCCTGGAAGCGCTCCTTGACGCCCTTGAGCGCCTGCTTGACGTTGTCCTCATCCCCAACATCGCAGCGGAAGAACGCAACCGACTGGCCATACTGTTTCTCGGCCTGGCTGCCGGCCTCTTCGTTCAAGTCCAGCACGGCAACGAGTCCTCCGCGCGTGACGAGTGCCGCGACGACTGCTGCGCCCAAACCTGATGCGCCGCCCGTGACGATCCAGACCTTTTCTGCGACGTCCATTGCGAGGGGAGGGGGTGCAATTGCGTGAGTGAGAGCGGGACGAGGAGGGGGTGTGCGAGGAAGCGGTGAAGACGGTAGGGGTCCGCTGCGTTCGCTCGATGCCGTCAGTGGGTCCACTGGGTCAGTCTGGCGCCTCGATGTGGCTCACGAGCGAGTTTGTGAAGAGCGAGAGCGACGAGGAGAACCCGGTCAAGTCGGCTGGCGACGGCGCACTCGGTAAAATCGCAGAGTGACAGCGTAATACTTACTAGATTCTCACAGTCTAGCTGAACTGGACCCGGCTGGCCCAAGTCGCGAGTCGTCCTCATCGCTTCATCTCTCGCTCGGCAACACTTCTCACTCTCGCTGTTGCACACGCTCAGGATGCCCGCTCGACTCGCACAGCAGCCCATCCACGTCTCAGTACCAACCTCCAACAGCTTCGACGCCCTCGCAGGCGACAAGGACACCGCGGCGCAGGACGACCTCGACGAACGGGTTGCACTCGCTCTGCGGCTCATCGACGCCGTGTTGGACGAGGATGACAGGCTCGTGAGGATGCTTGTGCTCGAGGAGAAGGTCGACGCTTGGGTGCAGGACCAGCAGGGGTGGACAGCCCTCCATGCCGCAGCTTGTCCGTCCCGTGTGCTCTTTCAAAGGTCTGTACGAGCTGACTCGGTTTGCGGTGTGTAGACACCGGCAACGTCGAGCACATCAAGTTGTTGCTGCGGAAGAGCAACGCAGTCTGGGCCATGCCGGACAACCTGGGTTGCGTGAGTCGGCGCTGTAGCCTCTCTCGCGCTTCATGCCGTCGAGTCGCCTTTCTCCGGGGCGGGTCCACGGTTACGTGATAGGGACACGATTCGCTGACACTGTCCACTCGTCCGCAGACCGCCGGCGACATCGCCTTCTCGATGAATCACGACCGGGCGTACGAGGAGCTGCTAGCCGAAGGCATCCGCGCCGAGATGCTCCGTTCCGTGCTCGAGTCCGCCTCTGCCTCCGACTCCGACTCGGCAATGGTCGACGACGCCGAGCCCTCCCCTTCGGACGCCCCAAAGTTGTCGACAGCAAGCGACAACGCGACCTTCCTCTCCTCCCGGCTCATCTTCACCACCGATTCGCGCGGTCAGGCCGTCGCACTCGACGCCGAGGGAAACGGCGTGATGATGAACTGGGAAGAGGGGATCATGAGGCGTACGGTGGAGGCTTTGGCGCGAGAGGGAGGCTGGGAGGGACGGAAGGGACGCGCGAGGGGGGAGTTGCTGAGTGAGGAAGAGCGCGGCGAGAGGGAGGGGTTGAAGGTGCTGAACGTTGGATTTGGGTTGGGGATCGTGAGTTTGCGTGCGGTCGCTCGTGCTGTCTGCGTCTGTCTCGCTGGACGATGCGCTGACTCGCCTCTCGCCCCGTCCTCGCTCACGCAGGTCGACACCCACCTGCAATCCTACTCGCCCACCTCGCACCTCATCATCGAACCACACCCAGACGTGCTCGCCTTCGCCCGGAAAAACGGCTGGTTCGACAAGCCCGGCGTCAGGTTCTACGAGGGGACTTGGAAGCAATGGATGGGGGATTTGGAGAGTGGGAAGGAGGAGTATGAGGGGTGGGACGCGATTTATTTCGGTGAGTCCGCGTGCGCGGGCGGTCTCTCTAGCCTCGGTCTGGAGGCGCGCTTCTGCTGCCTCTCGGGTCGTAGTCAGCTAGGTGCGCGATCCTCGCGCTCACGTTCCATACGCGCACAGACACCTACTCGGAGAACTACGCCGACCTGCACCGCTTCTTCGAGCTCCTGCCAGACATCCTCTCCTCCTCCCCCTCCGCCCGCTTCTCCTTCTTCCATGGCCTCGGCGCGACCTCTCGCCTCCTCTACGACATCTACACCAGCGTCTCCCAGATGCACCTCCGGGAAATCGGGCTCCAGACGGAGTGGGAGGAGGTGGACGTTGCGGAGGGAGTTGTCGGGCGGTGGGAGAGTACGGGTGAGGCGGCGGAGGGGGAGAGGACGAAGGGAGAAGGGGAGAAGAAGTATTGGCGCGAGGAGATGGTCGGGAGGTATAGGTTGCCTGTGTGCAGGTTGGAGATGTAGTGCGCGCAAAAGTGCAAGTTGACGCGGGCAATTCGCGCGACTGTCTGCGACCCCTTGCAACGCCGTGAGGCTCTCTGCGCCGTCAGCGTCCCCTGCGAAGCCTGTGACGAGACGTGAAGCGCCGCCGTCTGTCCTCGACTTGCTCCCGCTCGCTCGATCTCGCTGCGTTCTCTGTCTTTCGCTTCCTCCGCCGCTATGAGCATTCCGCGGCACGTTCTCGACCTCCTACGCCCTCTGCACCCGCCCGAAACGACCTTTACCCGCTCTCGAGACCTCATCTCTCCGTCTACGTCAGATCAGCAATACCTCTACAAGGAGGCCTCCGGGCCAGCGACGCAGCTCGTAGGCGAGGCTGAGAGCTTGAGACGGATGAATGAGGCATGTAGGGAGGTTGCGCCGGGGTTGGTGGGCAGCGGGGAGGGCGAGGACGGGAAGAGGTGGATGTTGAGCGAGTGGCATGGTGCGCCGCCCGTCTTTTCACTGCGTACGTTAGTCTGACACTCTCGTTGTAGACCTGTCGTCCATCCCCGCCTCTGAGACCCGCCTCGCCGACTTCCTCGCCAAAATGCACCTCGCACCCGCTCCTTCCAGTCAGCGCTTCGGTTTTCCCGTCCCGACGTGCTGCGGTGCGACTGAGCAGGACAACACAGAGGAGGAGAGCTGGGCGACGTTCTTTGGCGAGCGGAGGATAGAGGACCTTGTCAGGCGGATAGGGGATGCCGAGTTGAGCAGGCTTGCGGGGGACGTTCAGCGGAGGTGTGCCGCGGTCCGCTCACGCCCAGTGTTCTCTTGCTGACGCTCTCTACCCCCGCAGACTCATCCCCCACCTTCTCGGCAAGCTCGACATCCGGCCGTCCCTCCTTCACGGCGACTTGTGGTCCGGCAACGCCCGCTTCTCGCGCAACCGCCAAGCCCCCATCACGTTCGACCCGTCCTCGTACTATGGCCACTCGGAAGCCGACCTCGGCATCATGCGCATGTTTGGTGGGTTCAGCGAGGCGTGGTTCCGGCGGTACCACGAGCTGGTGCCCAAGACGGCGCCCGTCGACGAGTACGAGCAGCGCTTGCAGCTGTACGAGTGCTACCACCACCTCAACCACACGCTCATGTTCGGGGTGCGTGCGCACGACGTTCGTGGCGAGCTAGGGCTGACCTTCAGCGTACGCAGGGGTCGTATCGGTCGGGCGCGGTCGGGCTCTTGCGGGGGCTGCTTCGGTGGGCGGACGAGCGAGGGTTGTAGGGGTGGTGTATTGCATGGCTTCATGCGCCTACTTGAAGGAAGGGAGGAGAGTATGAGCGAGTTCCGGCGGGGACCTTCCCAAGTTGCGTTTTCCTCCGTCCACGAGTGTGCTGGCTGGCGAAGGGCAAAGAATCGTGTTGACAGGCCTACGACGCCCAGTCGCCAGCAGAAAGAAGTTGGTCAGAGCAGCCGGAAGCGAGCAAGGACTCCTCCTCCTCCTCCCCTTCTCTTCCAGGAAGAAACAAAGACGCCAAAAAGATGAGGCCCGTTGCCGGATTCGAACCGACGGCCACCGCCATTCACTGCTCTGTTACTAACAAGCCCGAAGGCGGTATCATACCTCTAGACCAAACGGGCTGGTAATAACTGCGGGAATTGCATATATGAGCGGGTGCGGCCGTCCTGCCTCATGGCTGCGAAACAAACGGGTCTATGCGAACCTGGTTGCACGCCTCAGGCCTCAGATTGGATGTCAGGGGATGCGTCTGAGAGATGACAGTAGCGGGCAAGTGCGCTCTTCCCAACACTGCCTTGAGGCTGCGGCGCTGCGGCTTGGAACACTGAGCAAGCCCATGGTCAGAGCGATACTGACAAACCCGAGAGCAGACTCTGGAAGTAGAGGGAAGTCAGTGAAGAGCCAAGCGGAGCAGCCTGGGGAGAAAGGCAAAGCCAAGATGAAGAAGGTGTCGCAGTCTTAGGGTCAGACCTTCATCGTGCACGCCCGCAAGAAAGCACAGCAGCAAGGAAGAGCGGCCTTGGAATCAGACGATCGGAGTCCGCGCAGAGGCAAAGATCCGCTGGGAGAGAGAGCGTGCCGTGGAATCGTCATTGGCGACGGTTTGAGGCTGCGGATGAGTACAAATCCAGGAGTATGAGCAAAAGATGACGAAAGCGTAGCGGAAAAGCAGCGGCGGAATGACCCGGTAGAGCGAGAGCCTGGTCGGAGACGAGCGCGACCCGAACCTCTCGGCTAGAGTCGTCCTCCTCGTGAACCGCCATCTGCTGCTGCGCAGCTCACTTAAGCTGTGGGACGAGAGAAGCTCCTCGGGGAACGAAAGAAGCGGAGAGGAGACAGGAAATGCGAATCTGCGGAGGAAAGAATAGCTCAGTTCCGTGTCCGCCCCAAAGCCTTTACAGCGAGAGCGGCTCACGCCTTTCACTGGTACACCGCCGGTCCGTCACATAACCTACAGCCCTCCGGCCGTCCTCACCCTCATCACGCCTTCCCCTCTCCCGCACCCGGCCGCGGTTTCCGCAAGTCTTCCGGTCCGAACGAGAGCGGGAGGAGCTGCGTGACGAATCAAAGCGAGGGTTGCGAGGCGAGGAAGGGCGGGTGAGAGGCAGGAGTAGCGAAAGGCGGACGAGCGAGTCGAGGTGAGCGAGAGAGCGAGGGGAAGGCCTCGTCAGCTCCGCCGACCGCTTAGAGCAGGAAGACGGCAAGCGCACCTCCCCCATGGTTGTCTCGACGACCGTATCCTCCGTGTCTGCGCCCTCCGCCTCGGTCGCGGTCTTGGTCGGGGTCTTGCCTTCGACGTAAGAGGAGGGGATGAGGAGGACTGGCATCTGCCCAAAACGCGCACGTCAGTAGCTCGTTCTGCTGCCGACGAAGGCGACTGCGCGAAGCCAGCGGTGGATAGACTCCCGCGCAAGCCGCCAGCCGGACGAACGATTGAGCGACGCACCTCGAGCGGACAAAACTCCCTCAAGACCTGCCTGCAAATCCCACACGGCGAGACCATTCCGTTGACGTCGCTGCGAGTCGCCGCCCCCAAACCCCAATCAGTCCGGATCTCTCGACACGGAGAGCAAACTGAAGCAGGGCGCGAAGGGAGACTCAACGAAGTCACGGCCAGAGCGACAAATCGGCGCTTGCCCTCAGAGACGCCCTTGACGATGGCTGTTCGCTCGGCGCAGATGGCTCCTCCTGCGAAGTCAGTGGGAGGAGAGGAAGTCAGCGGGAAGTCGCAGGGAGGGCCGAGGGACGATTCAAAGTCCCCCTCTCCAGTGAGCGCTCCTCCAGCCTCCACCGAGAACCAGAGAGCGAAGGAAAACACTCGCTGCAACGCACCGTAACTCGCACACTCGACATTCGCACCGCTCACAAACTCCCCCTCGTCCGTCAACAAGCACGCTCCGACCCTAAAGTTCGAGTAGGGCGAGTACGAGCCGTCTCGTGCTGTTGGTCTCCACCGTCAGCCAGTGAATGGGGAGGGAGAGGAGGAGAAGACGCACCGGAGAGGGCGGAGCTGATGAGGGTTTTGCGGTTCGAGGGGGACAGCGGGAGAGGAGTGTAGACGACCATCGCGGCTAGTGCAGCTCTGTTGAGTCTGTAAGCTCGAGTCTAGCGGCTTTGAGCGAGCGAGAGCGCGTGGACGAGGTGCAAGCAGCGAGCGAGGACGAGCGGGTCGGCCGAGTCGATGGCGACGCTTCGTAGGCGCTTCTCTGCGGTCCAGCACGACTACACAGAAATCATTGAGCAGCACCGCAGAATTGAAGCGAAAAGAATGAGAGCGAGGTGAAGCAGCGACTCGGAAACTCGCCAACCCGCTCAACAAGCCGTCTCCTGCACCCAAAGGTAGGCAAACGAAATGCATGCACAGAGAACTGCAAGACGACGAGACCAAGAAGTGTGAAGGAACAGAACCAAGACGAGGGCGAACGAAGGTGAAAGGCGAAGCTAGAGAAGGGTTGCGTTTGCGAAGGGGTTGCTGGTGCGAGGACAGGGATATCGACGATGCGAGGCAATAGAGTAGTGCGTTGCGAGTGTCTGCGAGAGTGTCGAACGAAGGCTGGGAGATAGGTTGCGAGTGCGCGAGGGATTTTGGGCGATCTGAGAGGCGGGAGAGCGAGAGACGGCGGTATCAGGAGAAGGGTCAGTTGCCGTTCTTGTCCTTGGCGCGCTTGAAGAGCATGATGTGCGGTTCGGGCGCGTGTCGCTGCGTTTACAGGAAACCGAGTGTGAGAACGCGAACAACCAGTTACATGCTCGAGACGCGCCAACATCAACGTCTCGAGTAGTTAAGAGACATCGCGCGGACCCACCTCGTAGTGCCACCACCCCGGACTCTGCTGCACGCCCAAACTGCGCCACTCGTCTTCCTCGGCGAGGCGGTCCTTGGGGAGGTACTTGACGAGCGCTTTCGGGAGGATGACGTGACTGTCCGTAAGAGCCCGAGTAAGTGTCCCGAGTACAGTCACGGCACGCAAGCAGCGACTTGAAGAAAGTCGAAAGCTGCGAGCGGCGAGAGCGAGGGACGCACCGGTACTCGAACTCGTCGTCTGCGGGTCGGCCAGGGTGACGGGTGTCAGCACAAAAACTCCATGAGCAGGTCAATACGTTACCTCAGCCGTGCGTTCGAGCGCAAGCGTTCATCGACAGCCCTGCACCGCCTCGAGGAGGTGAAGGCGAGTCGTGTGCCGCGGTCGCAAGCTCTTGGGCAGCTGAGCACACGTGCAGAGCTCCTTCAAGCCATCAAGAAGCCCCTGAATCCACCGCAACCCTCCCCGCAGCCCACTCGACCGTCCATCTCCCCCTCGACCCTCGAATCCCTCAACATTTCCCGTCCTTCCCTCCACACAACGTAGAGACCAGTCGTACGCACCAGAGTACCTCGCACTGTACCAAATATCCTGCTGGTACTTTTCCACCGCCCTCCGTCGGTCTTCGGCGGCTGGCATAGCTGGCGAACGAGTGAGGCGAGCTGTCGAGGCCGTTTGAGCGGGCGAGTCGGGGGCCAGACAGTTCCTAGCAGTTAGTGGGGTCTATCTGCGAGCCAGCAAGCGAACCTGAGCGAGTCGTCGCCGTTGTCCTCTCCCAACCCGTCCGCTCGCCTCTCTCGCTCCGCCACATCCAGCTCTCCCGCTCTCACACGCTCTTGGGACCGCCTGACTACCCCAGCATGGCCGTCGCAGCAGTCCAACTACCCCCAGCCTGTCCAACCCCCGACGCGCGAGGAGCGACAGACACCGCAAAGGCTCAGGCAGTCGCGACTCTTTTGCCGTCCAACATTCCCGAGTGCGCTCGTTTGCGGGTATTCTGACTCGCGTGATGCGACGACTGACACTCGCGCTGGACGCAGGAACGCACCCGAACACTGTCCCGTGCGTTCTCGCCGACTCTTTCCTCCTCGTTCGCTGACTAACCTCGCTCACCGTCTCGCGCAGGGCACCGAATCCACACAAGCCGGTCTCGCTCCCGGTTGCGCAGGCTGTCCGAACCAAGAAGCTTGCTCCACCGCTCCCAAAGGTCCCGACCCCGACCTCGCCATCGTCCGTGAGCGACTGAAAGATGTCAAGCACAAGGTGCTGGTGTTGAGTGGGAAGGGAGGGGTGGGGAAGAGTACGGTTAGTGCGATGCTTGGGTGGGCGTTGAGCGAGGGTGAGGAGGGGGAGAATGACGTGAGTCCGCGGGGGTGATGTTTTCACTGCGAAGACTGGCGGGACGGTTCTCGCCGGGCTCGCTCGAAAGTATCGGACATCGCTCGCTGACGCACACGTGCGCGCGCAGACCGGCCTGATGGACGTCGACATTTGCGGTCCGTCACTCCCGCTCCTCTTCGGCATGCAAGGCCAGCGGATGCACTCGACCTCGGCCGGCATCCTCCCTCTCAGCATCACCTCGTCCCTCTCGCTCGTCTCGATCGGGTTCCTCCTCCCCTCGCCAGACAGCGCCGTGATCTGGCGCGGACCGAAGAAGAACGGCCTGATCAAGCAGTTCCTCAAGGACGTCGACTGGGGACACCTCGAGAACCTCGTCATCGACACGCCGCCTGGTACGAGCGACGAACACCTCAGTGTCGTGCAGTACCTCGCTGCGGCAGGCGGAGTAGACGGCGCAGTGATCGTCACGACGCCGCAGGAAGTCGCGCTGCAAGACGTGCGGAAGGAACTCGACTTTTGTCGAAAAGTGGGCGTTCCCGTACTCGGTGTCGTCGAGAACATGAGCGGGTTCGTGTGCCCCTCGTGTGGAGGGGAGAGCGATATTTTCGTGCCTTCGACCGGAGGGGCGGACGAGTTGGCGCGCGAATGGGGGATCGAGGTGCTTGGGCAGGTACCCCTCGACCCAAGGATCGGGAAGAGCGGCGACTACGGGCAGAGCTTCTTGGAGGAGTACCCGGAGAGTCCGGCCAGCGTTGCGTACAGGCGGATCGTCCAGCGTGAGTACGCGCGCTATCTCTTTGTCGAGTTCCGCAGCTGACGCCAATCGCCATTGCCTCGTCACAGGCATCAAGGAGAAGCTACACGCCAAGTCTGCGACCGTGCTCGCCTAGACGCCCTCCTCCGTCCTCCTCGTCCTCGCGCTCTTCACTCACTCGCATCCACCCTGCATCTCTCGCATCGCTATTCGCTGTCCGCCCAGGTTGTTGTACACCGTACGCTCATAGACGCCACACGGCGCAATTGTATCTCTCGTTGACTTCGCTCTTCTTTGCTGCGACTTGGCCATGACGACGCGAGTTTCGAGGTGTGCGAGTTGACCTCTTCCGGTGCGAGCTGGACAGCGTAGTAAGCTCAGCAAGACTCGTTAGAACACTGCAAAGCCAGTCCCAGCCAGTCCTGGTGCGAGCGAGGAGAGTGACCTCCTTGCCGGCTGTGGTCGTCGTCCAAGGGTGAGGACTTGACCACACGCTTCGACCTCGCTGACAGGCTCACCGAGGCTCCTGCACAGCTCGACACACTCCCACAACCCACCCACACCGTCCAACCCGCCTTTCCCGCGCTCGAAACGCTCCACTCGGCCCCCTCCTCGTCCCTCACCTTCACACCGCACTCGCACTCGCACCGGCGCAGGATGGCAGCCGAAGGCAACTCCCGAAGCGACCTCATCAAGACGATGAACTCGCTGCAGGACACGTTCAGCGCCATCGGAGGCGAGACGGTCGACTTGCCCCAGATTGTCGTCGTGTGCGTTCCGTTGCTCTCTACAGGCGAGCCGAGGGCCCGAACCGGGTGGAGTGGGTGTACTGACCTGATTGCGGGTGAACTCGCGTGCGCAGCGGCTCGCAGAGTGCGGGAAAGTCGTCGGTCCTCGAGACGTGAGTTCCGCGGGTCTTTCGTTGCTTGTCCGAATGGCTGGTCTTGCTGGACCATGGCTGACATGTTTGCGATGAACTTCTGTGCACAGCATCGTCGGGCGCGACTTCCTCCCGCGCGGACAAGGCATCGTCACCCGCCGCCCTCTGGTCCTCCAACTCGTCCACACTCCCGCCCCTCTCTCTTCCCAGCCCTCCTCTTCCTCCGAACCCTCCTCAGCCAACCCAAACTTCACCCTCCCCTCCTCGGCGGCCTCCTCAGGCGCACCACAAGAATACGGCGAGTTCTTGCACATCGACAAGCGGTTCTACGATTTCGGAGAGATCAGGAAGGAGATTGAGAATGAGACGCTGAGGGTTGCGGGTGGGAATAAGGGAATCTCGAGGTTGCCTATTCACCTGAGTGCGTTTCGTGGGATCCTTGATCTTGTCTGCCCCGAAGAGCTCGCGTTTCTACCGCTGAATGCTGACCGAGTTGGTCTTGCGCACGCACAGAAATATACTCGCCCAACGTCCTCAACCTCACGCTCGTCGACTTGCCCGGCCTGACCAAGATTCCCGTCGGAGACCAACCGACCGATATTGAGCGCCAGATCCGAAACCTCGTGCTCGACTATGTCTCCAAGCCCAACTGGTGCGCGCCCGTTCCTCCCAGCGTCTCGCGAGCGAGTGGTGCTGATGGGAAAATGTGGTGCGAACGCAGCGTCATCCTCGCCATCTCGCCTGCGAACGTCGACCTCGCCAATTCGGAGTCGCTCAAGCTCGCGCGGGCGGTCGACCCTCAGGGCCGCCGCACGATCGGTGTCCTCACGAAGCTCGACCTGATGGACGCCGGAACGAACGCGCTCGACATCCTCACCGGCCGGGTGTACCCCCTCAAGCTCGGCTTCATCGGCGTCGTCGGCCGGAGCCAGCAGGACATCAACGCCGGCAAGCCTATGGACGAGCAGATCCGTACCGAGGAAGAGTTCTTCCGGAACCACCCGGGGTACCGCAACATTGCGCACCGCTGCGGGACAAAGTTCCTCGCCAAGACGCTCAACCAGGTCTTGATGAACCACATCCGCGACAAGCTTCCGGACATGAAGGCGCGGCTCAACACGCTCATGGGACAGACGCAGCAGGAGCTCAACGCGTTCGGCGACAGCGCGTTCTTGTCGGACGGCGCGAACCGCGGCTCGCTCATCCTCCGCCTCATGACGCAGTTTGTGCGCGACTTTGTCGCCTCGATCGACGGCACGACGTTCGAGATTTCGACGAAAGAGCTGTGCGGCGGCGCGCGGATCTACTACATCTTCAACGACGTCTTTGGGCACGCTCTCGAGTCGATCAACCCGACGCAGAACCTGACGACAGCCGACATCCGCACCGCGATCCGCAACTCGACCGGTCCTCGCCCGAGCCTGTTCGTACCCGAAGTCGCGTTCGACCTCCTCGTCAAACCGCAGATCAAGCTCCTCGAGCCGCCGAGCCTGCGATGCGTCGAACTCGTCTACGAGGAGCTGATGAAGATCTGCCACAACTGCACCTCGGTCGAGTTGCAGCGCTACCCGCGCCTGCACGCTCAGCTCATCGAGGTCGTCTCCGAGTTGTTGCGCGAACGACTCGGCCCGACGTCCGAGTACGTCCAGTCGCTCATCTCGATCCAGGCCGCGTACATCAACACGAACCACCCGGACTTCGTCAAGGGCTCGGCGGTTGCGGCGCAAGAGTCGGCGAGGGTGAGCAGGGAGAAGCGGTTGTTGCAGCAGGCGGACGCGAAGAAGGGCGGTGTTGATGCCGATGGCCGCGCGGGGTCGTCGTCTGAGGATGGGGCGAGCGGGCCGGAGGAGGAGGACGACGCGGCGGGTACGCAGGGGTACCTCGTCCCGAACGGCAACTCGTCTGCGGGGCGACAACAGCACGGACACGACAGGCACCGCTCGACGTCGTCGACCGTTCACGACCGCACGCGCAACGGTCCCTCGTTCGCCGGCCAGCCGAATCACCAGCAGGCGTCGCAGAACCAGGCTGCGTCGCGGTATCCGAACCACCTCTCAAACTCGACCTCTGCGCTCTCCGGCTCGCCCGGCAACAGCAGCACCGCCATGTCTTCCTCGGCCTACGCGACACACGACCGCCACGCCTCTGCGAAAGAGTCGTTCCTGAACTACTTCTTCGGCGGCAACCCAGCCGGGATCGGGCCCGGAGGCGACCTCACTTCGTCGCACCTGTCGAGCTCGAGTCGGGCGGCGGCGGCGGCGGTAGCGGGAGCGGGCAACGGCGCGTTCGGCGAGCACAACCCGCTTAGTGGGCGCAAGGGTTTGGAGGGGAATGCGGCGGCATTCGAGATGAAGAGCTTGGAGAAGCACCTCGAGCCGGTGCGTCGCTACAATACCCGAGCTTCATCCCGGATGACACGCTGATGAAGCTAGCTCTCGTTGTTGTATGACGTGCAGGCCCCGATGACGGCGACAGGCGAATTGGCGCTGACGGAGCGTGAGGAGCTCGAGACGAACCTGATCCGCGCCTTGATCGCGAGTTACTTCTCGATCGTGCGACAGACGATTCAGGACCTTGTGCCCAAGGCCATCATGCGTGCGTCCCCGCCGCTCTCGCCCTCACTACCCTCGCTGACACGCTTGTTTCGGCGCAGACCTCCTCGTCAACTTCTCGCGCGAGTCGATCCAGAACAGACTCGTCGCGAGCCTGTACAAGGACACGATGTTTGACGAGTTGTTGCACGAGGACGAGGCGCTTGTGGCCGAGCGGACGAGGATCAAGAACTTGCTGCAGGCGTACAGGGAGGCGTTCCAGGTGCGTCCCGGGGGCGGTCCTCGTTTGCCGGTACGCGGGCTGGGTTGGGCGTACTGACATGATTGCACCGTCCTCGGTTGCAGACCCTCTCGGAAGTCCTCTAGACGCACCGCACCTTCCTCTCCCACGGACGCTCTTCCGCTCTCGCCTCTTCGTTCTTTCGCCCCGCCGCGCACATACAACGCCTCTCTATCGAATGCCATGCTTTCCCCGCTGTTCCTTCTCGCGCTTTTGCCCCATGTAGACTCGTATCGCATCCACGCTCAGCCTGTGCAGTTCCTTTCGTCACTCCCCGTCTCTCTCTCGGTCGCTCGCTTGCACAGCTGTCTCTGCAACACACACACGAGTCGTGCCAGCCTCACAGTTAGCGAGAACGTGCGAGTCGATGTGAGCTCCTCGCCCGCCAACGGTTCTTCTCGCTCCGCTTCCCTCGCTCGCTCGCGTGTTGCTGCTGGAAAGCGACACAGTCCAACTCGCACACACTCGTTACACCCACCCACACCCTCTGCAACTTCCGCGACGCGCCCGTCGCCCTTTGCCAGCTCGCCAAACACTCGTCTCCCCGCTCAGTCCCTCGCTTGCACGCACCCCGCCTCGCACGATGGCGCACGCAGGACAGCAGGCGCACCACGACTTGCTTCGTCGACAGCGCCAGACGGGCGGGGACCTGGGCGGCGCGTTGGCGGGCGTCGCAGAGTCCATTGTTGGCGGAGTGTCGAGCGAGGCGGCGGCGACGAGGGACACGGCGGGCGGGCAGACGAGTGCCGCGCAGGGGACGAGTGCACCCGTGCAGCAGACTACGACGAGCGCAGCAGCGCCGCCGACGCAGCAGACCTCCGCCGCACCTCCTCCCTCGTCCTCGACGACCTTGCAGGAGGTCACGCACTCGACTACGACCTCTGCCGCGCCTGTCCCTTCGTCTACTACGACTGAACCCGTACAGCAATCGACTACGACTACGACCGCAGCCAGCTCGACGACGACGCAGGCTGCAGATACCTCGTCCAGTGAGTTGACTTCGAGGTGGTCGCTCACGTCCTCTCGCTCCGCGGGGCTGTGTGTGGACTCGCTGCGGCTGGACAGACTGTGCGAGTACATTAGAGGCCGCGTATGGAGTCAGGAGTGCTGCGTGGACCGGGCCAGCTCGACAAACATCCAGTCCTTTGACCGCGATTGCCGCGCGTCTTGGCGTGTCGTGCGGCTCGAGAAGCTGGATAGGCGGGACTGGTGGCTCGCAAGGAGAATGGGGCGATTCGTATCATCACTTGAGGAGCAGTGAAGACTGGCGCAGGCTGTCCAGACAGTCGGCGAGCAAACTTGCTGATTTCGTTCCTCTCGCCCTTCCTCACAGCTTCTGCAACGACAAGTTCGACGACCACGACCACCGTGAGTTCGCGATCTACTGTAACCTGATCAGCGAGAAACCTAGTCGTTGACGTCGCCCTCGCCCTGCAGGCCGCCTCGTCCTCCTCCGTCCTCTCCCTCTCTTCCGCCAGCGCCTTCACGACCGTCGTCGTCGTCCCCGCCTCGTCCAGCACGCTCAGCTCGTCCGCATCCGCAGCGACTGTTTCTCGCCCCGCTAGCAATGCCGCGCAGAGCGGGACGGGCGTCTCGACTGGCGCGGTTGTCGGGATCGTCGTTGGTGCGCTTGCAGGTGTTGCGGTGCTTGCCTGCGCTGTCGTCTGGCTCTTCAAGAAGGTGCGTGACGTGACCTGTCAAAAGCCCCGAACCGAGCTGACTGAGTCGCTCACCGTCCGCAGAAGTTCACCCGCGACGACGACGACCAGGTCTCGCCTTTCGACCGCGACGAGTTTCGCCGCGCGAGCGTCATGCTCGACGATGTCGACGAGCACTACGGCTCTCAGTCGCTCAACTCGTACCGCAACGTCACGACGAACGGCGGCGGGCCGGGCTCGATCAACGGCGGTCACTCGCCTCAGATGAGCGAGTACTCGATGCACGACATGATGGCCAACGGCGCGCTCGCTCGGTCGGGTACGCTCATGTCGTCGACTGGCACGGCTGCTGCCTTGCCCGGTCTCGCGCGCGGCAACACCCTCAACGCACCTCGTCCGCCGACGATGATCCAGCACCACTACCAGCACCAGCAGGCCCAGCAGCAGCAACAAGGGATGATGCCGTCCTTCCAGCCTGGACAAGTCGTCCCCGGCATGCCTTCGCCCCCTCCGCCTTCGTACCACACCGGCTACGGCGGATCGGGCGCAATCGACCTGTACGGAGCGACGGGCGGCGCAGGACCGTACGGCGCCATCCCTCACCCGGCAGGAATGGGCGGACTCGCGCCGTACCCCGTTGCGGCTGGTGGACTCGACCGCTCGCTTTCGACCGCCTCTGCCGGTCCTTGGCATGGGTCTCGCGCAGGACCAGGCGCCGACCTCTCGCGCAACAACTCGCAAGCTTCGGCGTACTCGCAGATGTCGGACGGCGCGCAGGCGGGCAGCTTCCTCCCTGCTGCTCTTCGCCCGGGCGGATCTTCGCACGGCCACGGCGGACCCGGCACGAGCGCCTACGACGAACGCCCTCTCTCGCTCGTGCACGAAGACGACGAGCCGTACTCGCCTTCGAACCCGACGTTCGACCGCGCTCGTCAGGCCGGAGCGGAACTGAGCAGGTCCGGCACGCCCGTCAACCACAACGTCCAGCAGACGTTCTTCTCGCACTCTGCGGCTGGACACGTGCGCGAAGAGTCGCTCGATGCGTTTGGTGCGCGCAAGGGCTCGGCGGATCGCGGGGTTGAACAAAGCGGCGTTGTTGGGAGGTGGAGCGACGGAGAAGAGTTTGCGGATGACGGAGCGAGCGTCAAGCGTGAGCGGAGGTTGAGCGTCAGGAATGGCGGGCTCGACCAGTTTGACGAGGACGATGCGGGCGTCTATGGCGGGATGCACTGAGCGGCGATGGTGGCGCCCGCGATGATACCCCTTCCGTCTCCCTCGTTTGTTTCGACTGTCGGTTCTCTCTTCGTCTTTCGCTCGCCCTGCCTGTTTCTTTACCTCGTTATTATGTGCGCCTGCGTTGCAACCGATACCCCGATTTCGCCGGTTCAGGAGCTCGCGCAGGCCGTGAAGTCCGACAGTGAACGTGTGGACCTGCCGCACGGAGCTATGCGGAGCCTACAGGGTTGCTAGCTTCCCAACAATATTGAGCGACACGGCCTCCTGGACCTCCTGGTGAAAGCTGAGAAGAGTCCGCGCGAGAGTTGGTTCTGACGGGACGATGTGTTGCCGAACGAAGGCGATAAGCGCATCGCTTGGCGCTTGCCAGTACTGTGCAAGAGACATGAGATGCGCTTTGTCGTCCGTCCGGCACATCTCGAACTCGAGAAGTGCGACGACCGAAAGGCGGTGGAGGTAAGCTGGTAGCCAGGGCCTCTGCCTCTCACACACGTGCAGCAAGTGGGCAATGTGGGAGAAGAAGGTCAGCGGGGAGAGGTCGGTCATCAAGGCGTTGTTGGTCGGATACCGACGCTTCTTGTAGAGGAATTCCGTGGCGCGCAACTTGAAGGCGACTCTGCCCTGACCAGGAATAGTCGCTTTTTGGATATCGTTCTGCATCTGCAAGCAGCAAGGGTGTCAGCAGCCGTTCTCCGAACACGAGACGCAGCAGGCAGACTCACCGAGTGAAGCAGTTGAGCGTACTTCATGTCTCGCTGCGAACGGTGGTGGATCGCGACAGCGTCGGGTTCGGAAGCCTGCGTCTCCCTTGACAAATCGAGGGAGATGGGAAGCTGTTCGAGGAGGTAATCTGCCTCTTCACGGGACAGCGGCGGCCACTCCCAAGGGTTCGCCTTGCCGGGACCGCAGAAAAAGCGGTGAAGAGGCCAGACCTGCGCGGCGCCGCAAGGGGTGTGTCAGCTCACTTCGTTCGACGGCTATTTGGCCCGGGAGAGCGATAGCTGACGTACAAGCTTCTGGTGATCCGGCGAGCAAAAGAAGAGGTCGATGTCGGCGTTCAAATACCTTGAGCAGCGGTTCTTCGTCTCCGTCCCGCACACCAGGCATTCCCCCGTGACTTGCGAGGCCATCGCTTGGAGTCGGAAGCTATTGTCGTGGCGAACGAACCGGCCCTCGTCGAGAACTGATGAAGATGGCGAGTTGGCGAAGAACGGCGTGGGAAGCGGTGCGGCGGTCAGCAGAGCCTCGACAGCACTCGTAGCAAGGTCTCCAGGAGCAAGCAAGCCCAATCTGGCGAGACGAGTGAGCGATTCGAGGAAGACCCGCTGGTTCTCTCTCTTCGACTGGAACTAGCGGCGACGGCCATGCGAAGATAACGCTTACAGGTTACAAAGGCCTCTTCGCCTCGTACTCGTATAAGGAGATGAGTGGCCCCAATACAACTGCCAGGGTGCCGAACACCTCTCGCCGCTTCTCTTTCGTATGGAACAACAGTGTCGCTAAGCACTGCTCGCAATCAGCCAATGTGACCGAAGGGTAAACGTCCGCCTCAGGATATACTGAACGTCCTGCGCGAAGGGCGTCGAGCGTGTTGAGGCAGAGGAGGTGGTGGAAAGTCTCCGCAGCGTTCTTGTCCAATTCGCACGGGAGGTCGGCTGGAAAGATGCCCTTGGGCTGGAAGGTCCAGTAAATATTTGCCATAATGCCAAGAAGGTCGTCGCGAAGCGAGGTCGGGCTGGTGTAGCGGGCGAAGCGAGAATGGACGAGGAGGGTCTGCCACATCTTCGTGGACGTGTCGAGGTTGGACTCTGTCTTGGCGGCTGAGACCAGTGGATAAGATCCTGGAGGTTTAATCACTGCTCAGGCAGATCGTCATTTCGGAGAATCGGTGGGACTCACAACGACCTCGCGCTCTGACAGCTCACGCCGCCCAAGCCGCGCCTTGAGTATCTCCAAGCGCGTTACTGATGCAGCCGGATGGTCCATGACGTGAAAGGACGCAATGATCTCTTCTGCCTCGACTGGCGAGAGGAGCGGGAAGATGATGGGAAAGGCGTTCGAGCCGCAAAAGATGCGATGGCCTGGCCACACCTGCGTGGGCAAGGGTCAGCTAACAATGTCCTCAGTGCTACTCGTAGAGAATGGAATGAAAGCTGACGCACGAGTCGCTGATGTTCGGATGAGCAAAAGAAGAGGTCGATTCCCGCTTTTCTGCACGCCGAGCACCGGTGCTTCGCCTCTCTCCCACACACCATGCATTCTCCCGTCGTCTGCGTGTCCATCGCGACCGTTGAGCGCCGTCGTTGGCGAGTCGAGCGAAAGGGCCCTGAGCGAGTGACGAGGACGATGACAAGTTGGCGAGGGCGGCGAGCAGCGAAAGGCGCGGAGAGCGACGGCAAGTGCGTGTGATCTGGGACGCAGTAGGCTGTGCCGACTGAGCGGGCGACGAGGCGAGGCCAGCGCCGAAGATGTAAGAGGAAGACGAGCGTTCACTCCTCCCGCTCACTGTCGGTCGGCTTGGACCGCAAAACACGATCCGTAACTCGCGTGAGTATTCCACAACCTGCTGCTTCCGAAGGCACGAATCTGTTGCGCTCAAGAGCGCATGACCGCATCTTCGCCGCCTAGGCTCGATGCGAGCGCCAGGACTGCCGAGAATGGGAAATGCGCCGCGGTGTAGGCGAACAAAGCCTTCATGCACGAGGCGACTGACTGGAACTGCGCTTCGGCAACATCCCCGTCCGCGCTACGACCGACGCGCACGAGCGTGAGCAGGCAGACTAAGTCGTGTAGCAACGTTGTCTGAGCGCGGTTGGCGTTCCGCATATGCGCCGGTAGTATGGCGTTGTTGAAAAGATCCTGATGCTGTTTGAGGAGCCAATTCAAGACGTCCACTCGGAAGGAGCCCTCGCTGAAAGGTCCCTCATCAACGCGATTGGCGGCGAGCGCGAGCACGATGATCGTCTCAGATGGGTCTCTTCCGTCAGGTGACGGAGGACATCCCTTGCCCTCACCCAACATTATGAGGTGGTCCTATAAAGGCGAGGTTCAGCCTTTGCAAGGCTGAGGACACGGACCGAACGCACCGTGAGTTCGCGTCTGGATAGCTTCAGAGCGAGCCACTTGAGAGATGGGCACGTCGCGCTCTTTGTCCTTGTCATCGATCGGGATGGCCGGCTTGTCGAGGTTGGCGATGGCGGTCTCAGCCTCGGCGGGGGTGAGGAAGGGCAAGACGAGAGGGAACGCGTTAGCGCCGCAGAAGAGCTTGTGTCCTCGCCAGACCTGTAGGGACAATAGACTGGTCAGCGGAGTGTGACACCACGGAAGGTGCCGACACTCACGAGCTTCTGGCATTCCGGCGAGCAGAAGAGGTCGATGCCAGACTCGTGCAAGCAACGCGTGCAGCGCTTCGTCGTCCTGTTGCCGCACACCAAGCAGGCTCCCTCGACCATATTGCGCGGACCTGCGAGCGTCTGCGGGGTTGTGCGTCGAGTTGTCCGGGTCTAGGAGGCGAAGTTGATGAAGCGGTGGAGGGCGTGCAAGCGGTTGGGCGGGCGCAGCGTACAGCTGCAAGCGGTAGTAAGCGGTGTTAAAGCAAGTTCGAGTCAAGATAGCGCCTCCCGAAGCCGTTTCTGCGAGAGCGAGTGGGCGGGAGGAGGGGGAGGGGCGAGAGTCGAAGGCAAGGCGAGGCCGGCATTTTCGAATCTTTAAGGCAGCAGACGCCACGAGAAGCTCGCAAGTAACACTCTTGTTGCGGTAGAGCCTCGTCAGTGAGCCAGCAGGCGTGCGCTGACATTGCAAGTCCTCCTCGCTCCTTCCGAACGGATGTCCAGCTAAGTCCGCCGGCCCAGCTCTAGCAAACTCGCGCCTGCACCTCACCTGTTGATGGCGACGGTCTGAGGCGCCGACTTTTCGAGCTCGACCATCAGCTTGTACGCAAAGACCTCGTCGAACGCCTCGATGGCGAAAGCCCTGAGCGCCTGCAAGCACGGACGCCGGTAGGACTGGGCGCCCTGCATCCTGCTCGAGTCCGGCTGCCATGTGTAGGGCCTCGACAGCGCCATGCATTCGAGAGCTTGGTAGCAGGCGATCCGGTGAAGGAGACGCGCTTCGCGCAACTCGTAGTGCGCTGGAATGGAAACGATCAGACGCGATTGATCAAGCGCCAAGACGAGCTGCCAGAGCGTTGCGAGGACAGCTTGTGGGATAGTCGTGCTCTGCGAGGGATCAGTCACTGTGAACATGCGAGCGACGAGCAAGATTGTCTGCGACCGTTGAGGAGATGTTGCGACTTCGTCGGCGGGTGCGCCATCGGACACCGAGCGAATGTCAGCCTGTAGCGCGGCAAAATTAAGTGCTACATTCGGTGGGAGCGAGAGGAGAACCTCACGGCGATCTCGGCCGTCGTCTTCTGGCGACCCAAGCGCTGCTTCATCATGTCCACCGCCGGTGTCTGCAGCCATGTTTCGGCAGCTATGTAGCGGGCGATGGGTGTCTCGAGCGTGGAAATGAGGTGATTCGCTTCCTCCTGGGTCAGGCGCGGGAAGACGACGGGCCAAGCGTTCGGGCCACAGAAGCTCCTGTGCGTAGGCCAGACCTGTGAGTGTAGCTAGTCAGCTCAGTTGGTTCCCTGCGCCCGCAACGGAGACGAGCGGGACTCGCAAGCCTCTGGTGTTCCGGCGAGCAGAAGAAGAGGTCGATTCCTGCCGTCGCACACGCCGAGCAGCGGCTCCTTGTGACCGCTCCGCACACCAAGCACTTGCCCGTCGTCTGCGTGTCCATCGCTAACCGCCGCAAGTTGTTGTCGCTTTCTTTGACCTGGTCGACCCCGAGGACTGATGAAGGCAGCGAGACGACGAGCGCGGGCGTGGGAAGCGGTGTCGCGGTCAGTGAAGCCTCGAGAGCAGTCGTACCAGTGTCTGCAGTCCCCAACGAGGTTCAGCTGGGCGCAGCGAGTGAGCCGTTCGAGGCGAAGCGGTTCCCTTCCACTGAGGCTTCGACTTGTTCTCCCCGCTTGCCTGCTATCCCAAGTTGAGCAACGCGTGAGACTCTCTGAAAACGACTCAAGAAGCGTGTTTATCTGCGACACGCGCAGCGAGACCGACGCTCGCCTGTCCACCTCGACAACCTCCCTTGCACAAGTCCGCCTCACCCCCTACGCTTCGCCAACTTCCGCTCCACACTCGCAACGTATCCAGCCATCCCCTTCTCCATCAGCTTGATGCCGCCCCGCCCGACCCTGAAAGTCTGACCCCTCTTGGCCGCGCCCTCCTCCTCACTATCGCTACTCTCCGCCTCTTCCTCCTCTTCATCCTCAATTCCTGATGCCGCTTGGAACGTCTCGCCCTCGACGACAACTCGGCTGAACCACCGGTCGTGCGTGATGAGGACGATGCCGCCCGAGAAGGACTTGAGCGCTTTCGAGAGCGCCTTGATTGTCGAGAAGTCGAGGTGCGTCGTCACCTCGTCGAGCAGGAGGAGAGGAGGTGGGCGGAAGACGATGAGGGCAAGCGCGAGGCGGACCTGCGCGAAGGAGACGGGTCAGCTAGAGTCGACTGCAAAGAGCGGGTCGTACGCACCTTCTGTCCTCCACTGAGTTGCGAGAGCGGCGTATCGCTCGCAATCTCACCCTTGAGACCGAAGGAGCCGAGGCAAGCACGCGCCTCCGACTCGAGCACCTTCTCGCCCTCCGCCTCAAAGTGCTCGAGGAAGTGCGACAGAGCCGTGACGGGACCGCCTTGCGCCGAGGTCGTCTTGAGCGTCAAGTTCTCCACCGAGTGCTGGGAGAAGTAGCCGGTGCGGAGCTGCGGATGTCGCACGATCTTGCCCTTCGTTGGGACGAGTTCGCCCACGATCAACTTTGCAAGAGTCGACTTGCCGTTCCCGTTTGCGCCGACGAAAGCGACACGACCGCCTTGTTCAACGGTGAAGGTGACGTTGGCGAGGAGGGGGGTCTTGGCGCCGGGAAAGCGATACTCGACTTGGTCGAAGTGGACGAGGTCGCCCAGTGTGCGCAGCTTTTCGGGACTCGGTACGCGGATCTTCGATGCCGCTTCTTGTTCTTGCGTCTCCACTTCGGCTCGTCGAGTGAGGTGGTAGCCTACGGGCGTGCTTGGTAAGCCAAGGTTTTGAGCGACTCGAAAGCGGACTCACCGACGAGGTCCCGATTGAGCTTGAAGCGATGTCCTGCGGCCGATTGCTCAAGACCCCACCGCTCGTCAAGCTTCTTCTGCCTCGACTTGACCATGCGCTGCGAGCAAAACGGTCACGGTCAGCACAGGCGAGCAGGAAACGGAGTTCCTGAGCGCACCTGTCGATTCTCATCCCCGGTCTTCTTCACACTCGCGATCCCACGCTGAATCGACTTCTCCACATGCTCGCGCTTCTTATCCAGCGCCTCCTTCTGCGTCGTCATCCTCTTCGCCTTCTTCCGCTCTTCGACCTCGAACGCAGCGGGCGTTCCTTCGAAGTACACGAAAGCTTGATTGCGGAGGATAATTGTCTCTTCAACGACGGCGGTGAGGAAGGCTTGGTCGTGAGAGACGATGACGAGGGTGCGGGTCTCGTCCCGGAGGAAGTGCTCGAGCCTGCGAGGTAGCGAGAGTCAGCCACCCGTATCCCGGCCGCGCGAGTGTGAGGTTGGAGAGCTTGCCAGATCGTCGCCTCGAGGTCGAGGAAGTTTGTACACTCGTCCAGCAAGAGCACGTCGGACTGGACCAGCAGCGACGTCGCAAGCGAACACCTCGACCTCCAACCGCCCGACAATGCCGAGTATCGCCCGTTCATCATCTCCTCCGTGAAACCGAGGCCGGTCAGGATCGTCGCAGCGCGAGCTTCGGTTGTGGAGGAGTCGAGGAGTTCGAGGCTAGCCTGGACATCGTTGAGCATGTCGGTAGCGCGGGCGAGAACGTCTGGGGAGGGTCCGTTCGAGGCAAGTTCGGCAAGTCTGAGTCCACAGAGATCCGCCAGCATCAGTCAGCTGCCTGTAATACAGCGAGGCCGTGAGCAAGTCCTCGACGCACCTCAGCTCCGCTTCCTCGACCCGCTTCGTCGCCTGTATCTCAGCTTCTCGCGCCGCCTTCCCCCGAGTACCCGACCGCCGCTTCGCAACCAGCTGCGCCTGCACGAGCTCCTCCTGCCGGTCCTCGAGTTCGAGTGTGCGGACTATTCGCTCCGTCTCGATGGGTTGCGTCGAGTCGACGGCTTTTGTCAGGACTGTGGGATGCGACAGCATCAGTAAGAGTGACAGCTGAGTGAGCACAAGATGGAGAATGCACCTTCGAGCCGCTTAACGTTCCGCGTCCGCTCCTTGTCGCCGTGCACGACATGCTGCAGCACCGTCCGAGTCTCGTCGTCGCTGGATCTCGTCGAGTCCTCGACTTGCGAGAGAAGCAAAATGCGCAGATTCGGATTGATGCCGGGAATGAGCTTGTCGGCGAGCGCGGTGAGGACAGTCGACTTCCCCGTCCCGTTCCTCCCGACCAACGCATACTTGACGCCGTCCTTGAGCCGCAGATGCGCGCCGCTGACGAGTTCGCGCTCGCCAATCGAGATGGAGACGTCCTTGAGGTCGATCTCGCGCGAGGTGTCGAGCGTCTCTGTGTGGAAGCGGGATTGCTGGGACGAGCAGTGGATGGCCGACGGAGACGCCTTGTCGCCTCGAGCCTTGCGTACGACCATTGTCGCGGTAGCAGTGACGGTTCAGGACAGCTCAGTAAGACGAAGAAGCGAGAGAAGCGCCGGTCGAGGAAGCCAAGTCGGGTCGACTCAGATGGAGACCGAACGGCGGCGATCCCTTCGCCACCCGGTGCGGTCAGGCTGAGCTGTGCGGTGCAGGCATGCGACTTCGACAGTGCCAGTCTTGCTCGAATGGTGTCGCGAGGTGTTGTCGTGGCGGTCGAACCGGTCCTCCTCGACGAACTGATGAAGTTGGGGTGAGGGCGAAAGCGGGTGCGGGCAGCGCTGTGTCGAGCACGGTGAGCTAGAGTAGGTTCGTGGCAAGCCAGCGCGCGCAAACGAGGCCAGTCTGACGCAGTCAGCGAACGGTGCAAGGGAGACCCGTTCTCGCTCGACCTGCTGGCACGGTGAATTCGCTCCCCTCGCGGCTAATCCTGCGTAATGTGATACGCCGTAGATGCATTGCAGAAGCGATAGCTCAGAAGGCCTTCACATGCGTCCAGAAGGGGCTGTCGGGCGCGAACTGAATTTCTCCAGGAAGCGTCGGAAGCCTCCCTCGACCATGCGAGCCCCTTCCGGGTCAGTCTCTGCGACAGTATCGAGATACCTGTAGACTCCGTCGATCGAGTTGACCAGGTACTTGACCTGTTCGTCGCTATACGTCTTTCCCGTCAGGAGCGCGACGAAGATCGAGAGACGGTGAAGGTAGCCCGTGACCCAGGGCGGCGGGTCGTCCCGAAAACAGTAGAGAAAGGAAGACAGGCGAAGGCTCGTCAAAATCTCGAGAGGCGGACTGGGTTTGAGGATCCCGTCGTTCTTGAGGTTGTTCCCGCGGACGAAGTGAGCATGCATCCTGACGCACGCGAGCGCCGAGGTCTCGTAGTCGAGAGGCAAGCCAGTAGGTCCAGAGAGACTCCTGATGATGTCCTGCACGGCGGAACGAGCTGTGTCAGCCTGGAAGCCCAAGGACGAGTTTGCGGACGGAAGGGAGCGCACAGGCAAACGCTCGCGGGGTTCGTTGTAGATCCGCAGCAACTGGTCGGCCAAGGTCTTCGATTCGGAATGTGTGACCGAAACCAGGTCGAGCGTAGCGATTGCAGCCTGTACTTCATCTGGCGAAAGAAGCGGCCACCTCCAAGGGTTGGCCTTGCCGGGACCGCAGAACAAGCGGTGGACGTGCCAGACCTGCGCATTATATGCTTGGTCAGCTTGCGGGTAATAGCGAGGCTGTGGATACGACGGAGTACGCACGAGCTTCTGGTGTTCCGGCGAGCAGAAGAAGAGGTCGATTCCTGCCTTCGCACAGCTCGAGCACCGGTTCTTCGTCTCCTTCCCGCACACCAAGCACTCCGCGACCGCCGGCGTAGTCATCGCAACCTCTGGCGTGCTGTTGTCGCTGTTTCTGAGCGGGTCGACCTGGAGAGCTGATGAAGCGGGCGAATCGGCGAGAGGGGGCGTGGGAAGCTGTGCGCGCGTCAGTACGGCGGCGCAGAAGGTGAAGCACTGAGTCTAGCAGCGAGCGAGCTTGATCAGCGATGGTGAGCGAACTGTACGAGGGAAAGGTGCTCGTCGACCTCCCTCAGAGATCGACTCCTCGCTGTGATCGGCTTGAAGCTTCGCCTGAGCTCGCAGCTCTTCAAGTAAGATCTACAAAAGCGAACGAAGTAACGCTCGAAGCGTCTGCGACCTTGCAACCCTGTATACACAGCTGAACCCGACCCAAACTTCCGCTCCCCGCGCCTCACAACCTCTCAATCCTTGATCTCCTTCTTCTGAAAGCACCCCTCGACAGGCACCAGCCAGCCGGCCCTCCGACTCGTAAAGAACTCCCCCTTGGGCCTCAACCCCTCCTGTTCAATATCGTCAAACGTTCCCGTAAAGATATATCGCTGCGTGTCCTTGGCCGCGTCGCCCCATTCTGCGATTGGCCCGCCACAGGTCTTGCAGAAGAGACGGTGGAGGAGCGAGCCGGAACCGTTGTCGGCGCTGTGTGAGGCGGGTTCGCCGACGGTGATCTTGAAGGATTGGAGGGGGAGCTTGGTCGTGACGCCATAGGGACCGCCGGTGAATTCTGCAGTGTATAATCAGCAAAGAGGCAAGAAAGAGCGGGAGTGTGACGCACTCTTGCAGTTCTTGCAATGGCAGAGCGAGGTCCGCAAGTCGTCCGGCGAGTCGACATTGACCTCGTAGCGAATCGCGCGGCAGTAGCAGCCTGGAGAGCGTGTACAGTGCATGTTAGCAGCGTGTTGAACGAGGCATGGGGACCAGCTGGTGTAGCGTTAAGGGCGCAAGCGGTTCAACGGAGTTGTCGCCTCGCTGACCCTTCTCTTCTCCTTCCCCGCGCGCCCGTCCCGCCTGCACCGTCGTTTTTAGCCATTTCTAAGCCTGATTCGCTCCCACAGAGCGCCAGGACTCGGTACTCCTCCCTCGTGCCGCCTGACCTTCGCAGAACGAGCATCCAGTCCCAGCGAGTCGCCCGGCCGTCCAAATCACCTCCAGGGTACGTTGGCATGTTGGAGAAGAGCAGTAAGCCGTAGCAAATGAAGCGGAAGAAGCAGAGAAGCGTCCGCCTCGCGCGTTCTCTTGCGACGTCACTTCGTTGCACCGCCCCACTTCCTCTTTCCCTTGGTCTGTTCACTCGTCGGAGACGAATTGACGTTGGCGACGCGCTGCACATCTGAGTGACACGCTGAGCGACGATGCAGGAGGATGCTGCCGACCCGCTGTCTTCGCCAGGTCTCCTCGCACCGCTCCATCGCGCCTTGACCGCCCTGGACCTCCTCTGTGATCTCCCTCGCGCGCACTGGCCTCGCTTGGTCTCTAGCGCGTCCGGCTTCTCCCCGAGCGAAGGCGATGTCCCGCAGACGGCACACCTCTCCGCGCTCTTTCGCCTTGACCGCTCGCTTGCTCCCGCTTCACACGCTCGCTTGGGCTCCTTCGTGCTTATACAGCTTGTGAGATGACTGTGGAGGATTGCTCGACCGAGACGCAGCCCGGCGCGGTTGGGGACAGGTGCGCAACGCCTCTTTCTCCTCCTCGTCGAGACTCGACTGACTCTCGTCGTGAACGCACGCAGCGCCGCGACCTCAGCCAACTCGGAAGCCACTACGACTTCTCATGCGCCTGCCCTCGACCCGTCAGCAAGCGACTTTGTCCCGTCGCAGTCACCGCCCTCGGACCCGCCCACACCAGAACCCTCCGAGAACCCCTACCTCGCCGCGTACTGGGCCGTCCTCTTCGCGCTCGAACAACTCGAGAGCGGTTTCGCCGTCGACGCCTACATGACCCTCCTTCGCGCCTCGCCTTTCTCCTCTCAACCCGCTAAACCGACACAAGTCTCGAAGCTCGTCGCGCATGTGGGCAAGATTCGGTTTCAGCTTGGCACGGGCAGGTTCGAGCAGGCGATAGACGAGCTGGATAAGGGCGAGGAGCTGTGGAATGCGCCGGAGGGGAGGATGGGAGGACAGGTTCAGGGCGTGCCGTGGGAGGCAAAGGTGTTCAGGTTGAAGGCACTCGAGGGGCTCGAAGACTACGAGAGGCTGCTCGAGTACGCCGAGTGAGTCGCTCGTTCTGCGTGATCCGCCTTTGAGCGCCGAGCTGACTTTGCCCTCGGTTCTCCCAGCGAGCTGATCGACGACAACCCGGACGACTCGCCTGTCGCCTACTACTACAGATCCCTCGCCCACTACCACCTCGGCGACCTCGACGAAGCGGAGAAGAGCGCGAACGAGGCGAGCGAGCAGGCTGGGATTCGCAAGATCGAGGGCCTTGAGTGCGTCCGATGTCTTTCGCATAGCTTGACCGGCGGCTTTGGATCCTCGCCAGGTCTGGCTGGGCGACTTCGACAGTCAGACGCTGACTGCGCTTATGTCGACCTCCGCTTCGCAGCTCCCTTCTCGACCGCATCTCGCGCATCTCGACTCTCAAGAAAGCCGGCAACGACGCCTTCAACGCCTCGCGCTACGATCAGGCGATCGAGAAGTACACCGAGGCGCTCAGCGTCGATAGGAACAACAACGCGATCCGCGCTGTCTTGTACACGAACCGCGGAATCGCTCATTCGAAGGTGAGTTCGGACGGAGCTTCGTCTCGCGGCATGCTCGCTACCTGCCTGCATCAACTGATGGTAGAGCGCTTCCGTGAACTCGCAGAAAGCGAACAAGACCCAAGCGATGTCCGACTACCGCTCCTCCAACTCCCTCTCCCCGCGCTACCTAAAACCCTACCGCCTGCTCGCCACCCTCTACCGCAAATCCAACGATCTCTACTCCGCTCTCGACTACCTTAACCGTGCTCTCCGCCAACCTGGATTGGAGGGGGAGGAGAGGGAAGCGGTCGAGAGGGAGCGGGACGAGGTGGCGAGGGAGAAGAAGGCACAGGAGGCGAGGGAGAGGCAGGAGAGGGAGGAGAAGAGACGACGCGAGCAGCAGGAGAGGGAGGAGAGGAGGAGGCGGGACAAGGCGGCGAGGGAGACGGTGCGTTCACTCTCACGACTTTGACTTGCGCTTTGTCCGCGCCCGAGCTGACTCGCCTCCCGACGGCAGAACCACTACACCGTTCTCGGCATCGCGGTTGGGGCAACGCAATCGCAGATTCGCATCGCATATCGGAAGAAGGCGCTCGAGACGCATCCCGACAAGGGCGGCTGCGAGGAGAAGTTCAAGAGGGTGCGACTTCAGCTCTCCCAGATGTGCTCGAGACTGAGGGCTGAGACTCGTTTGCGTCTAGGTTCAGGCGGCATACGAAGCGTTGTGCGGGAAGAGCGGCGGTCGAGCCTATGGTGGAAGATCAGACGTGAGTCCTGCTCTTCCTCTCAGTCTTTGCTCGCTTTCAAGTTCCTCCTGTGGTTCCTTCATCTTACTGACTCTGGCCAACGCAGGACGGAGGCCGCAACTCGTACTCACGCTCGTACAGCTCGCGCCACTACGATGCGGACGACGTAGACTCGCCCGACGAGTACTACTCGGATGAAGACGACGAATACGACAGCGGAGACCTCTGATGCAACGACTGCTGCTGGTTCCGCCGACCCCGACCGCGTTGTCTCGTCCTTTTCCATCTTGCCCCAACTTCCTCGCTTCCGACGCTCTCTCTGTCAACTCGCTAGTCTGCATCAGCTCTCGTCAATCGTATGCTCGCGCCGGGTCTTGAGGACGTGTTTCCTCAGCTAGCACGGCAGGAGAATACGACAGATTGGGAACGAGCGATAATCGAAGGGGCGGAGCGTAGACTGAGGCGCAGCGAAGGAGTGAAGGAGGTCGTCGGGATCGAGCGGGACGAGGCCGGTGCTGCGCCGACTCCGGCGCTTTAGACGAGAAGATAGGCGAGACCCGCGGCGCCGAGGGTGAGGAGGGAAGCGGCGGTCTTGTCGGCGCCGCCTGGAGCGGGCTCGCCAGTCTGAGCCGGCTGCGTCGCATTGGTCCCGGTTGCGGCTGGACGAGAGGTGCCTGCGCTCGTTTGCACAACAGAGGAGGAGACCTTGAAGCTCGAGGCGGAAGCGACGAGTGCGGAGGAGAAGCTGCTCAAGCTTCCGGTGCGGCTCGCTTGCGAGCTGACGCCGCTGCTGCTGCCGTCGAGCGCCTTGAGTGCGACCGGACACTGCTGGACGAAGGCTTCGTAGGAGAAAGAGGATCAACGAGAGCACTCGAAGCCGGGAAACGCTGAGCAGGAAACGCACCCTGTCCAGTCTGGACGTTCACACCGCCCATGCAGTTTGCGCAAGTCTGGAGAAGAGCGATATTGTCCTTCCTGCAGGCGCACTTGACGCTGGTCTTGTAGTCGCCCTCGTCGTTCGGGTTGGTGCAGCTCTGGAAGGCTCACATCGTTAGTTGTGGCGCTCCTACGCTGTTGCTTGGGCTTACGCACTTCAACGCCATCTTTCCAGCCTTGGAGACACGGTTGGGCGCAAGGCTCGTTGACCTCGATGCCCAAGACGCTCGTCCCAAACTGCAGAAGGATCCCAGCGAGTCCTTCGACAGGGTCGTTCGGGTCGAACGGATGCGACTGGCGGCGAAAGAGCGAGTTCTTGTCCTTCCTTTCAGCGGGAGAGACGGCGGAGACTGCGAGCAAAGGTTTGAGGGTGAAAATGGCGCGAGGGGGCAAGGGCAACGCAGAGCATACTGGTGTGCGCCAGAGCGACAGCCGCGACAAGCGTGGTCGCGAGCATGGCGAGATGAAAAATACAGACACTGGGTAGTGAAGCAGGAAGAAAGCAGATGGCGAGAAGCAAGAGCGAAAGAAAGGAGAGGTGCCGACTTCGAGGAGATGCGGACACTCCGCGGTGCGCACCACGAGGAAATGTCTGGAGCCTTTCCTCGGTCTTGGCTCGGCGCAAACTCCGGACGACGAGGCATGACCGGTGAAGTGACGGAGGGACAGGAGAACGGATGGCGAAGCAGCACGGTGGAATCGTGGGGCGAGCTCGCTACAGCTCGAGTGACCCGCGCACTGTCTCTTTGAAGCACTGAAGGCGTCTCTGGCGGGAAGCACTTGAACAGGGAGCGAGAGAGAAAGGTGCGAGGGAAACTTGCGAAGGTCAGGAAAAGCGCACGCTTCCAGCAAAGCTTCGCGGTCGGCTTTTCTCTCTGCAGGTCTAGTTAGACGGGGCAAGTGAGTGTCTGTTGTGCACAAAGGGCAAAAGGGAAGAAGGGAGAAGGAAGATCGAGTGAGTGAGTGCGAGTCCTGTGCGAGAGGTGATGCGTATGGAGGGAGAGCGTCTACGGAGTCGTTGAAGGCAATCGGGGAACAGAGGGAGAGTGTTGCTGCTCAGACAAGGATCGTGGTGAGACCGACCGCGGCGAGAGCGACTACCGAAAGACCTGCCTTGCCAGCGCTGCCAGGAGCGGGTTGCCCAGTCTGTGCCGCCTGCTGCGTTGCGTTGGTGCTGGTAGCGGCAGGACGAGTAGCGAAGGCTCCTACCGTCGAGGTTTGCGCGTCCGAAGAGGTGTTCGGCCAGTGACCGTATCCTCCGCCCGACGACGGCTGAGCTGCGGCAGAAGTCGTATCGTTCGACGGCCAATGACCGTAACCGCCACCCGATGAAGGTTGGGCACCAGGAGCGGTGTCGTTGGACGGCCAATGACCGTACCCGCCTCCGGAAGAAGGCTGGGCGCCAGAAGAACCCTCATCTGAAGGCCAGTGGCCATAGCCTCCGCCCGACGAAGGTTCCGCGCCAGAGGATCCCTCGTCGGATGGCCAATGGCCGTAGCCGCCGCCGGAGGAGGGCTCAGTTCCGGACAAACTGCCATCGGAAGGCCAATGACCGTACCCGCCTCCCGACGATGGCTGAGCGTTTGCGGTTCCGTCGTCGGACGGCCAGTGGCCGTATCCACCCCCGATGAAGGTGTCGCGGGGTCGGAGGAGCCATTGTCAGGCCAATGACCGTAGCCACCGCCGGAGAATGGCTGAGCGGCAGGCGAGTCTTCGTTTGACGGCCAGTGGCCGTAGCCTCCTCCCGAAGAGGGTTGAGCCTTGTCGGGTGCAGGGAGAGGGGCGGCAGAGACTGCAAGCGGGCAGGTGATTAGCGCTTTTGAAGACCATGAGGAGCGAGAGGAGCGCACCTGCGCCTGCGAGCGCGGCGGCAGCGACGAGACTCTTGACAAGCATGCCGCAAAGATAATGTATAATGGTGTGATGTCCTGAGTAGCAGAGCACGGGAGAAGACAGGGTGTGAGGGAGAAGGGAGTTCGCGAACGTCCATTCTTGCGCACGACGCGGAGTCTCCGTGGCATTTCCGAGGATGAAAGAACGCGATGAAGCTGTCAGAGCCTCCTGTACTTCTTGGCGACCCAAGTTAGGATGGGGCCAAGATGGGGCGGCGACGGCCTTCGGGAGAGGAGGACGAACCAAGGACGAACGACCAACCGGCGTGGTCGTCTTGAGCTGGCGCCTCTCTGAACGGGCAGAAAAGCAGCCGATGAAGCAATGCGAGGCGTTCTAGGAGCGCAAGGCCGGCCGAGAGCATCCTTCGTATGCTGAAGGGTCGGTTAAGAAGGTCCGCCTCTTTGCGACCTCTTCCTCGTCCTCCACCCCTCTTTCCCGCCGTTCGGCTAGCAAAAGGAGTGAAGAGAGCTGTGCACGCTTGCCCCCCACATCAGGCGGATCTCCGGCGGAATTGCCTTGGAGTTGCCGCTCGCTCGCGCGTCCTCCTTCGCCCCTCCCTCTCTCCTTCAATCTCTACATCTTCCTGCCAACAAACTCGGTCTTCCGCACAGTCCATCGACGCTTATCTGCACCCGCACAGCATGAAGGCCGCCACCATCGCTTCTGTCGCCATTCTTTTTGGTGGTTCGCTCGTTCTTGCTCCTCTCAACGGGCGATTCTCGCTGACCGGTGTCCCAGCAGCTTCGCTCGTGACCGCTTCTCCTCTCGCCCGTCGCGACGCGGCCCAGATTCAGGCCAGCGTGACCCGCCTCGCCGGAGAGGCGACGACCGCAGCCGAGGGAACAGGCGCTTGCGCTGCTCCTTGCTCTGCCTGGCTCAAAGCCTCGACGGCAAGTGTTCTATTACGCCCAGTACGCATCGTATCCAGGCTGACCACTCGCTTTTCCGCAGATCTGCACGCAGAGCGCAAACGGCGACCAGGGCAAGATCGTCTCATGCGCTTGCGAGTCGTCGGCGCTCTCCGCCATGTCGACCTGCGCGACCTACGACCTCTCCGCCGGCGGAGCTACCGCCACGGGTGGCACGTCGGCCGCAAAGACCGCTGCACCCTTGGCTAGCGGCTCGGCAGGCAACACGACGCAGCCCACGTTCGACAGCGGTAACGGCGCCGGCAAGTTTGGCGTCTCGCTCGTCGCCCTCGGTCTCGTCGGTGTCGCTGGTCTCGTCTGAGGCACGTGCACGGTCATATAGCGCTATCATTGGTTCTGCACCCCGTAGACACTCCTTTATCTCGCCTTGAGCAACTGGCACCGATCCTTTCCTCGACCCTGCAGCGATCCCGTCTTCTGTCCCCTAATTTGCGGTCTGTGCATGTAAGATGCCGAGCGAACGGTGCGTGAGCGTGAAGCGTGAAGGGTAGCCGTGCATCGCCTTCACTTGCTCCGACTCGGCTCCGCCGCCTCGCCCCTTCGCTTCTCCTCCAAGTTCGCCAAGGGAGCCGCTGTCCGAGCGGTCCCGTCTCCTCTGCGATCGGTCGTCAGACGAGAAGCACCGCTTCATATTGCCAGAAGAACAAGATACCCAAATGGAGCGATAAGGGGATTCGGAGATGAGTAGGAGGATGTATAGGATGGAAGGAACGAAGGCGACGAGCCGAGTCATGATGCTGCCGAGATGTCGGAGGATTAGGCGAGGAACACGGCAAAGCCAACGGCGCCGAGGGAGAGGAGCGAGACGACCGCCTTAGCAGCGCTGCCGGGAGCGGGCTGGCTAGTCTGCGCCGGCTGCGAGACGGTTCCGTTCGCGGCCGAGTGAGACGCGACAGCGCTGGTGTGAGCAGCCGAGGCTGCGCCGCTGCTGGCGGAAGAGAGGGCCGAGGAGGCGGACGACTTGATGCTCGTGGCGGAAGGAAGGGTGACGGCGGATCCGCCGGTGCTGCTGGCCTGCGAGCCGATGCTGCTCGTAGCGAGAGCCTTGACGGCCACAGGGCACTGTTGGGCGAACACTGTGCAGAAGACAGATTCGTAAGCGAGTTTTGAGGAGCTCGAGGAAGCGAACGCACTGCTGCCGATCTGGACGTTGTCGCCACCCATGCAGGTCGCGCACTTTTGGAGGAGAGCGACATTGCCGTCCGTGCAAGCGCACTCGACGTTCGTCTTGACGTCGTTCTCGTCGTCAGAAGAGCAGGCCTGCCGGGACAACAGGTCAGCTCAGTCAACGACCGGGAGACGCTGAGGAAACGCACGCTGACGCCGTTCGTCCAGTCAGTCAAGCAAGGTGCCGCGCACTTGTCGTCCGACTTGAGGTCCGAGACGTTGATGCCAAACGAGAGCAGCACCATCGCAAGCTGTTCGACCGGGTCATTTGAGTCCATCTGGCGGCGGGCGAGCGTAGCTGCATCACCCTTGTTGGCGAAGGGAACAGCCGAAGCTGATGTCGAGCAAGCGAGTTTGAGTGCGAGCTCGCAACGAGACGCAGAAGGAGGACGTACCGGTGTGTGCGAGCGCGGCGGCGGCGATGAGCGTCGTGGCAAGCATGTGGAAAACGCTGCGTATGTGTGGCGAAAGAACGACGACTGGGAGGAGAGAGGACAGTGGAGGTAGAGACGAAAGGCAGGAGGTCGAGCAGGAAGTAAGGAGGGAAATACGAGGTCCACGGAGTCCGACGATGCCGGCCGCGTGGCTCCCAAATTGGCCCCAAACGACGACTCCTGTCCGCCTTGGCTTGATGGAGCCGGACCGAAGAGGTGTGAGCGCAAAGATTCGCCGAAAGGAGCGCGGACGGAAGCCTGGCTTCGCTCCGCCTCTCCTCCTCGAATCTGACCCGTCCACTCACAACACTCTCACCCTTCGACAATCCGTCATCGCCCACCTCCTCGTCCGCCATGAAAGTCATGACCATCGCAACGACCTTCCTTCTTGGCGGCACGCTCAGCTGTGCGTCCATTCCGTCGCCTCGCACCGTCTGCCAGATCCGAAGTCTAAGCTTTTCGGGCGTGTCACAGTCGCAGCCCCGTTCAGTCCTTCCTCGCTCTTCCGCCGCGACACAAACGGCGAGATTCAGTCGGTCGTGAGCCGACTCAGCATCGAAGGGCATGCCGTGGAGCGTTGCTCGACGCCGTGCACGCCCTGGCTCAGCTCCATCAGCGTGAGTCCTCCTCAACGTGGCGTGCGGTCCTGCACTGATTCCTCCAACCATTCCGCAGAGCTGCGGCAACTCGTCGTCGTCCAACTCGACCGCCTCCTGCCTGTGCGAGACTCCAGCCGTCAAGGGCATGATTAGCTGTGCCACGTGCATCGGAGCGATCGAGACGGACTACGCGAGGAGTGCGTAGCAAGCCCGTCTCCCTTTCCACCCGCTGACGGAAGGCATTCGTCCTTCAGACGCCTCGAACAACTGCGCCATCCTCACCGGCTACAACCTGACGGACAGCATAAACGGCGTCGAAGGACGCGTCGGAGCGTCGCTCTTCGCCCTCGGCCTCGTCGGTGTCGCCGTCCTGGTCTGAACAGCCGACGAATTCGAGCAGACTCCTCCATAGCCCCCTCGTAAGCCTGATTGCCGTGCAACCCGCTCGCACCGTTCGAAACGTTCGCGATAGTCGGTGAGCATTGCAAGGCGAGACGAAGACCGCGACGAAAGCGAAGGTGAGTCGAGTGCCGAGCTAGTCGCGCTGGTGAACGGTCGTCTTTGGCGCCGCAAGGTTCTCGACGTACTCCTCGACCCATCTCGCGCGTTCTTCGGGAACGTGGTTGAATTCGAGGTAGCGCTTGTCATTCTGCGAGAACCGAAGGCACCATTGTCCGTGAGCGTCAACGTCCCAGCGACGCGGGAACCTCAGAGAATGGGACAGGCGGTGAAAGCGCACCTTGAGAACAGCATGAATCGCCCGCAAGTCCACCTGTTCCGCCATAGCCTTGACATCCGGCTCCTCGTCCTCGCTGTCCTCCCGGACGCCCTCCTCGCCAATCATCTTGACGTCCTCCCGCTTCTCCATCTTCTTCAGCCTGCCCCAGTGCTCGAGGATCGAGTTCTCCTTGAGCATCTGGGTAAAGTCCTCGCGCGCCTGCTTAGTCCGAGACGCGATCCACGAGTCGTACAGCTTCTCGAGCTGGTCGAAGTCGTCGCCGACGAGGCGGGTGACGTGCGGGTCGGACGAGATGGATGGCAGGACGTCGTGGAAAGGGGTCGTGATTTTCGGCGAGTGGGCGGCGAAAAGCGATTCAACGTCGGCGATGCGGGAGCGGTAGAGCTTGGCTTGGTGAGAATCGAAAAGGCGTCGCTTGTCGAGCGGAGTGAGAGAAGGCGCGTCGAAACGAGGGTCACGAGACATGGAGGAGGCGAGATCGTCGAAGCGGGCCTGCGCAGAGAAAGCGGGTCAGCTCAACAAGCGCGATACGGCCTGTAAGAAGCTCGCTTCGCACTTTGTGATCCCGCACGGCATCGACGAGCAACTGCCCAAACTCGCGCTCAGCCTCTTCCTTACCCAAGTTGCCCCTCGCCAAGTTCGTGTTCCGCTCAGCGCGCATCTTCTCCTGCCTGACACGCTCTTCGCGTTCTCGCAGCGACGCCGCCGCCCGAGCGGCTTTGTCCTCCTTCGACGGCGCAGGCTTGCCTGAGTTCGTCGAACCGGACGGCGCGGAAGACGAGCCGGACGCGAAAGCCGAGACGTGCTTGTTGAAGAGTTGTTCGCGTAGAGAGGAGGAGTTGACGGCAGTGTAGCGCGAGTCGTTCGCATGCCGCTTTTTGACCTGCGCGGGGGTAGACGTCAATTCCGCCTCGAGGAAGGCTTGGAGGTAGTATCACGCACATCTGCCCACTTGTCGCCCGGTTTGATCTGTCGGTCCTCGCTCAGCATCTCTCTGAACTCCCTCTCAGCCTTCTCCGCCGCCTCGCGTTTCCGCTCGCCCAGCTCGCGCAAATACCGCTTGAACTCCTTCTCGCGGTCTCCCTCGGTCTTGCCAAAGTCGCGGTAGCGCTGGTCCTTCTGATGCGAGCGCTTGAAGTCGGAGAAGTGCGTGCGGGTGGAGGTAACGACGGTTGCGAGGAGTTGGCGGTAGGCGGTGAGAGGCTGCGGCGATAGGCGAGATCAGCGTGAACAGTGGAGACAGGAAAGAGCGCTACGCACGTCGACCTTCTGCCCGCTCTCGGCAGCCCGCTTCTTCGCCGCCCGCTGTTCGCGGATCTTCTCCTTGCAGAACTCGTCGAATAAGTCTCGTCGGTCCCGCTGGCTCTTGACGGCTGCGCAAAGAGCTCAGTCAGTGTGAGCGGATTAAGGAATCGACGGAGAGGAACGCACAGTGGTAGCGCGGGTCGTTCACGAACTTGGGCAACTCGGTCTCGAATGGGGCCATCGGATTGATGTCCTTCTCGCTCAGCAGGACCTGCACACGAGACGCCGTCAGCATGGTGAGAAAAACTTACGCAAGAACGGGCACAAACCTTGTAAAGCGCCGCCGCCTCGACCTGGTCAACCTCGAGCTTCGGCGCCCGCTGCTCCTCAACCTTCTGCTTCTCCGCTTCTGCCGCAGGCGCAGCCGCCGCCTCCTGCTCCTGCTTCTCCTGATCCTCAGCCTCCTTCGCCATCTCAGCCGCCATCTGCCGCTGCCAGTCCTCGTCGTCGAGCTCCTCGAGCGAGGTGACGACCTTGGTCTTGGCCTTCTTCTTCTTCGGCGGCTGCGAGTCGGCGGCTGGTGCAGGAGCGGTCGGTTCTTCAGGCTTGGAAGGAAGGCCGGAACCCTCGGCCGCTCCCTCGATCTCGATGTCCAGATCGCCCTTTTCCTCCTCAGCTGGCGAACCCTCCTGCTCCTCCTCGTCGTTCTCCGCCTCGTCCTCGTCCGCTGCCTTCCGCTTCTTCCCCGACAGAGGTGAAGCAGACTTCGCCTCCGCCTCCTCCTTCTCCCTCTGTTCCCGCTCCTCCCGTTCCTTCGCCTCCTGCTCCTCCTTCTCCAACGCCTCGGCCTGCTCCTTGATCTCGTCCGGTACAGTCCACAAGCTCTCCTTCGTCTCCTTGTTGTTGTAGAACACGTTCCCCTTGTTGGTCGTCACGCGAATCCAAGGTGTTCCCTCAATCGTTTTCTTCTCCTTCGGCTTCTCCTTCTTCTCTTTCTTCTTACCCGCAGCGCCGTCTGCACCCGCGGCGAAGTGGATGGGCGGAGCGAACTGGGCCGGAGGAGCGGAAGGAGCGGGAGGGACGGCGACGGGGAAACCGGGTGGAGGGGGAGGGATGGAAGCTCCCGCGATGGGGAAGCCGGGAGGAGGAGCGGGGACGGGGCGAGTGTAGGTTGAGACGTTTGTGAGCGGATTGAACCAGTAGGGCGTGCCGTTCGGGGCTGGTTCGAGGGGAGGAAGGGACGGCCAAGATAGTCAGCGTCGAAGTCGCGGCTGCTGCTAGGCTGCGCTACAGTCGGTCTGACTCGTTCCATGTCTCTCCAGTCGCGTCCCACGCCTGCCTTCTTGCGGATGACATCGCCTCGTCCTCCAACTTCCGCTCCACGAGGCCCGTCAGACCACCGCTGCCGCTGTCCAACGCCCGCATGCCCCCAAAATACTCGACTAGCGGGCGACTCACCTCTGTGCTCCGTCCATGGCGGCGGGACAGGCGGGAGGAACGCCTGAGGGAAACCCGGCGGCGGCGGCGGAGGGGGAGCGCCAGACATGGCTGCGGCGGGTGCTAGCGGTCCAGAAAAGCCTCGTTAGCAAGAAGCAGCAATCGGTCGGGCTTCCAGCGGTGTCGAAGCGAGACGTCGACAGTCAACCGAGGAAGCGGGAGGAGCGGCGACGATGAGAGCATTCCACCGCGTCGTGGGCTGTCTTCTGCAGCGAGCACGGTCCAGCGCAGTGTTCTGAGAACCTTGACGAAGCAGATGAGGCCAAGTACGACGTCGGAGGACGAGACGGAGAGCGAGAACGACACTCGACGACGTAAACGGATGGCAATGCAAGAAGATCCCACTCTAAGATTCCTTAAACACCTTGAGAGACGCACATGTACGGCACAGATTAGTCGGAGGCACGAGAGACCGCCCCCGTTTTCCCTTTCCCACCTTTACAGATTCATCCAGTCCGTGGACCCGTCGCCCATCCCGCTCAGTCCAAGCGACGCCCCGCCAACCTCGTAATCCCCCGCGCCGAACCCAGCTCGCGCGCTCAGCGCTCCATCCTTCATTCCGAGCTGGCGCTCGATCGCGCTCCAGTCGATCTCGCCCGCACGAGCGAGGAGCGAGTCGGTGTCGACGTCGACTGCCATGCTTGTTCCGACTCCAGCTGGTTGGGCTCCGAGCGAAGTGAAGCCGGAATTGGTGCCGGGTGAAGAGAAAGCCGTAGCGAGCTGACCGAGAGGCGGAGGCGAGACGGACGACGAGAACGAGAAGGACCCGTTGCTGCTAAAGTTGAAGGCCGGCGGCGACGTCGAATGCAGCGGTGCACCGTTCGAGACGGCCGGACTGATGTTGCTGCCGGTCGAGGGCGAGACGGACGAGAAGAGCGAGCCAAAGTCGCTTGCCGAGGTCGTGTACGACGGCGGGTAGAACGGGGGCGCGTTCATCGGCGGGATCTGCGGCTGCGCGTGTTGCTGCATGCCAAAGAGAGGCGGCGACGTCGTTGCCGAAGTTGAGAAGGGACCGTTCGTTCCGAAGGCAAAGAACGAGTCCTGCTGCGGCGGTAATTCTTGTTGCAGGTGCTGTTGCTGAGGAAGCGCCATGGCGAGAGGCGGACTAAGCGACGCCTGTTTCGGCGGGTCGGGCAACGTCGCAGGCGGCGGGCTGTTGGCTGGCGAGATCTGCGCCAAGACGGCCGCCAGAATCTTTCCCGCGTCGCGAACCTGCGCAATCTGCACGCCCGCCGCGTCCATCACGCCCAGCGCCTCGGGCTGAGCGTGACCCGTCTTGACAGCGTTGAAGAGCTCCCTCTGCGCTGCGGTCGTCCCACGCGTCTCGTCCTGACCCCAAGTTCCGGCGCGGAGGATCGTGCGGAGCGTCTGAGCGTGGATGGCGGAGGGGTGCGAAGGCGTTGGAGCGATAGCTTCGAGGAACGAAGCGCCGAGACCGAGCAGGACGCAGAGTTTGCGGCCGACGAGGATTGGGCGGCCGGTCAAGTACGAGGCGGCGGGTGTCGGGACGTAGGCGCTTGGCGACGTCCCTGGAGGACTTGCGCTTGGGTCCAACGGGTCGGCGGGCTGGTTGGTAGTCGAGAGCTCGCAGCGCGAGAGGCCGGCGTTGCACATCTTGGCGAGGAGGATGAGCGGGTAGGCGAGGCCCTGCGATGAACCGAGAGTCAGCTCAAAGATCCGAAGCCTGTCAGATGCGAACGCACGATGCAAGTGACGGGATCGATGGCGGTCTTCATCGCCGAGATCATCTCCTGGTCGGGCGTGAGCGGCTTCCTCAACCCGGTCGCCGGATCGACAGGCGGCCACTGCACCCTCTTCTCTCCATCCCACTCGACCTGTCCAGGGCGGAGAACCCTCGATTCCTCCGAGAGGGAAAACATCATCCGCTCGAGGGCGGCGATGGAGACGCCGAGGAAGCGCCATTCGGCGGGCGAGAGGGTCGGCGGAGCGCCAGAGGGGGAGGGAGGGAAAGGCGAGTCGGGCGTGATGGGTGGCGAAGGACCGCCTGATCCTGTCGCTGCGGCACGGCGAAGGCGATTCCAGCGGTAGAAGACGCTGCCATGCAAACTCGTCAGTTCCCATCGCCGAGAGAGGAGAATGAAAAGGCACGCACGACGCGTTGACCGTGGCCTTGACAAGCTGCACATGCACGGTCGCCGCATTCCACGCATGCCGATCGCCCCTCTTGAACGCCTCCCTCAATCCCTCGCGCCAATGATCCTCCCACGCCTCGACGCCCTTGTTCCACTCCTCCATCTCTTTCTCCCACTCGTCCCTCCACAGCCCCTCTCCGCGCACCCACGGTCGTCCAAGGACTTTTCCGACGAGTCCGTAGAACTCGAGGAAGGCGCAGAGACGGGTGTCGGACGGCTGGATCTGGAGGGATGCGAACGCGCGCGTTGTGCGTGCTGCGACGGAGGCCGAGAAACCGGATGTCGCGCGGCCGGTCGTGAGTGCTCCATGCACGTCCGTGACGAGGAACCACATGAACAGGCGGAGGTTGTCGATTACGCCGGCGGGAATCTTGCTCGCCTCGCCGCCTGCAGCTTGATACGCGCGCGCAAAGTCCGCTGGTGCCGAGTCGAGGCCGATGCGACGGACGACAAAGGTCTCGAGCATCCAGATGACGGCGGACGAAGGGGCGTTGTTCTTTGCTGCGCGCTCGGCGGCTGTGGGCGTAATCGAGTGCGTGTGGAGGAGGTGCGAGTACTCGACTGGTTTGTAGACGAGGAGGATGAGGAGGGCGCGGACGAGGTCGGGCTGCGTCGCGAAGGAGTGTAAGCCGGTCGACCACCGAAAGCAACGGCGAAACGTACCGTCAGATCGGCCTTCATAGTCCCCAGCACGATCGGGGCCACCAACTCATTCACAATGCTCAGCAGCTGCAAGTAAACCTTCTTCGACTTGTCACCGGGCGAGGGGAGGAGGAAGTACGAGGTGGTGAGGAGCATGACGTGGAAGAGGACGGGCGAGCGGGCGCGGAGGGCGTCGAGTGACCATGCGGAGGTGGGAGGGGAGGGGAAAACGGGAAGCCAGGGCGCGATGCGGTTGAAGAAGCTGGAGGGTGACCGTTGTCGAACATCAGCAACCGGCTTCGCCGCGGGTTCGCTGAAGACAACCAGTCAACGACTCACATCTCGAGACTCTTCGTGCACTCGTCGACGGTCATGACGCCCCGCTCAAACGCATCCGGTCTCGTCCAGCCCTCGAAAGCCATGATCCTCCCAACGGTCGCTCCAACGCCCGCTCCATCCGCTCCCGACGCTCCACCCGCTTCAGGTGCCGAGTTCGCCTGACCCGCAAACGAGTTGATCAACTCGACTGCATCGTTGATCGCTTGGAGGGCCGTCTCGCCCGTGTTTTCGGGAACGGCCGAGGGGACAGTTGAGCCGTTCGGGCGGGTCTGGCTCGCTGTGAGTGAGGGCTTGCGCGACGGGCCAGAGGGCGAAGAAGCAGACGAGTCGTCGTCTGGTGTGTCAGCTTCTGCGATGGACGAGTTTGGGTCGAGCGAGTCGGCGGCGGAGGCGGACGAGTGACCGTGTGCTTGGGCGATGACGGTCGAGAGTTGGAGTCCTGACAGCGTCGACTCGATGGAGCGCAGTCGTGCAGCCATGTCGTGCAGCCTTGTTTGCGCGATGGGCGAGACTGTTCAGCCCACCGGAAGGTCCGGCCGAGGGAGAGCGAAGCTCCGGACGTACAGCGTGTTTGTTCCCGCATCGAGTCCGACATTCGCTTGCGCTAGTGGCAGGACCGGCGCGAGACCGGAGGGAGCGGAGGGAGTGGAGGCGGCGAGGACTTTGGCGGTCTTGCGTGAAGGGGCGGGGACGGCGGAGTAGACGCACTGCAAGCCGTAGAGCTGGCACCTGCGGCATGGGATGACGGACGGGCCATCGCAGCGCTGCTTAGTGGACCTGCATGGCGCATACGAGGAAGATAAGTCGTGAGGAATTCCGTGATCAAGCGAAGACGGAGGACCAAACGCACTTGCACGAGTCGCACGCGGCCCTCGAGCGGCTCGACTTGGCCGTCTTGGCGAGCCCGTCCGACATGTCGTCGTGCAAGCGAGGGCAAGAAGGAAGAGCGGGACGAGCGACGGGAACAGGCGAGTCGGTCGTCGGAGCCGATGGGTTGCGAGCAGCGCGATCGTGCGAGACCCTGGGGACGACGATTACGCCAAGACGAACCCGTACTCTAATCCGGATGTCGTGCCGGAGCGTGCCCTCGCTGTCCCGCTGCTGGGTTGATTATCGTGGAAAATGAACGAGTGAAGCGAGGCGCGGGAAGAAGGCGGACGGCGTGGTGTCGGCACGTGGAAGCGAGCGGCGGCCTGTTCTGCTGTCTCAGCGTCGCACTGAGCCGCTTCGAGAGCGCCAATGAGCGATTCGGAGCGAAGGGGAGTGAATGGGACGAGGAAGAGAGGGGTCGGGAACTGATGAGGACCGGCATCTCGTCGACACCCGCTTGCTGGGCTCTGGAGACGTCGACTACCATGGCGGACACTCCAACAGCCGGTCCCGCACCGTCAAACCCAGCCGAACCCGCGCCATCGTCGTCCACCGTCCCTCAACCCCCACCTTCTGGCGAAGCGGTGACAGAGGGAGAACTACAGGGCGGGGAGGCAGCGGGACAGCCTGAGGATGAAGCTAAGACGTCTTTGGAGCAGACCGGTGGAGCAGCGGATCCAGGAGCAGCGCTGGACACCCCAGCGACGGCCTCACCACTTCCACCCCCTCCCTCTCACTCCGGTTCAGCCACTCCCGCTCCTCCAATCGTCGTCGAACCCGCACCAACGCCATCAACATCCGTATCACGACCCTCCGTATCCTCCGCGACCCACTCTCCTTCACCCGAACCCGACAAGTTCGCAGTCCCTTACTCGGACGCATATCGAGCGGCGCAGTCGGCGAGTCGGTGGAACGGCTTGCTAGGTTGGGCACGGGGAGTGCGGTTGGAAAGCTCGCCTGGAGGGGCGGAACGAGGGTGGGACTTTGGAACTGGGATGTGTGCTCGCTTTCGCTCTCCTCCGCGCAGACCAGTCCTTTGTCGCTTACTGTCACTCTGCCTCATTCTTCAGGTACCACGTCCCCAGAAACTCGCCATACTACACAGCCGGCGTCGAGCGCGCACCCATGTCCGTCTCCTCCCTCTCCTACCTTTTCCCTCCAAACTCACCCTCGTCCTCCCGCAGAGACCCCTCCCGCCCCCCGCCGCCTCTCTCTCTCCACCAAGCCTCCGTCCTAGTCCAACACAATCCCGACGCACTGTCAGACGACGACGGAACGGATTCGGCGGCTGGGAGCGGGTTTCATGAGAGTGGGAGGCCGAGGAGGAGTAGGGCTGCGATGGGGTTGCGGTAGGTCTTTGCGGTTGGAAGTCGCGGTTTCTCGTCTTGTTTCCTCGCGCTGTCTGTGCGACGCACGTCGCGTCTCGCGTATGTTTGGCTTGACCTCCTGTCCGTCACCTCCTCGGGCTCATCCGGATCTCGTTTCTTCCGTCCTCCGTCTCCTTCGCTCTCGAGATGTCGACGCCGAAGACTGGCTGCTGTATCATCTGCGCGGCCGTGACCAAAACGCGCTGCTCGAGCTGTGCCAAGGCAGGTATCGACATCTTCTTCTGCTCGCCTGCGCATCAGAAACTGGTGCGTCCTCTTCCTTGCTTCCTCCTGCTCGCAACGAAGCTGACATCTTTTTACGCAGCTCCGGCCACTGCATCGCTTCTTCTGCGGTCCTGGCAAGACGAACCCCTTCAAATGGCCGGCTCTCTCTCGTGCAGAGAGTCGACATGCTATCGACAACCTCGACACGCCGCCAGGTCCACACGCCAAAGGGCGATCGTGCAGGGCGTCGACAATAACGGAGCATTTGCGAGACGAAGCTGGTCTTCCGACGTATTGTCACGTTGTGCGTTTTCCTTCTCTCTCCGTCGTGTCACCGCTTCTGACGCCTCTCGCACGCAGTCTCAAATCTTACACGCCACCGAGCCCACTCATGTCCAGGGCCGTCAAGTCGAGATGACCGCCGTCAACATCCGCATCGCCAAATACCGCCTCGTCCGCTCCAACACCGCCGAAGCCGACCTTTCAACACTTCCTTCCCTCGTTCCGCCGCTCACGTACTTCACTCAAGTCGCGGACATCTTTGGCGTGTTCGACTTGTCAGCGGACTGGCTACGCGGCTTGCTGCATCGCCTGTCGCCCGTCTCCCTCCTCGTCCGCCAAGCCAGCATCCCCAGCTTTAATCAGTCGGAGGCTGCCCATCTCTTGCTGCTCTCAGCGCATGATCAGCTCTCGGCATTCGTGGAGAAGGAGGTCAAGCCGAGTCATCCGGAGGAGGCGAAGCGGTTTGCGCGCGAATTGAAGGACCTTGCGGCGGAGGAGGTGGTGCGTTGTTGGAAGTTGGCAGGCCGGTAGGCTGAGGGACGGTTCACGGCGTGAAATCATCGGTAATGCAGCTGTTTGGCGCCACGAGAGCGCGAGGACGCCGAAATCGTCCTTGCGATCCGTTCGAACCTGAGGTTGTCTCCGTCCTGCACACTCGCTGCCTCAGAACGAGCTTGCTTGCTGCGAGGGACCTTGCTACGACTGCTCTCGACGCTGTACTGACGCGTGCGTCGCTTCTCACGCACTCGCTCGCTGCCTCGCCCTCTCCTCATCAGTTCTCGAGGAGGACCGCCTCTTCCACCACGACAACAGCTCGCGACGACCGGCGATGGCTACTCAGACGACAGGAGTGTGCCTCGTGTGCGGCAAGGAGACGAAGAACCGCTGCTCGGCGTGTGCGAAGGCGGGAATCGACCTCTTCTTCTGCTCGCCGGAACACCAGAAGCTCGTACGTCCGCGTTCCCTTCGTTCCATACGACTCTTCGCTGCCGTGAGCTGACGAAATATGTCTTCGTCAGGTCTGGTTCGGCCACAAACTCGTCTGCGGAGAAAACGCTTTTCCTCTCGTCCTCCCGCTGCTCTCAGACGACAAACTAGACGACGCGCTTCGCAACCTCGACAAGCCGACCCTCGCCGCACATCTAGGCAGCAATGAGGCAACAGCAAGGTTCTTCTCATTGGCGGAGCAGTACCTGAGGGAACCACGTCCCGAGATTGAGGTGTGTTTTGTTAGCTCAAACCCCTCCGTGCGCTGCAGGTTCTGATGAGCCTTTCCGCAGGCTTTATTTCGTCACGTATCGCTTTCGTCGCCTCAACACGCGGAAGTGCGCGATCGCCAGACGCAGATCATCCTGCACTACGCTCGTCTCGCCTGTCCTCGAGGCACCAGGCGTTCTCCGCGCGATGATCTCCTGTCCGCCTGGACTCGCCATTACAGTCGTCTAGCTGGCAGAGGGACTCTTCCAGAGCTGATGGACGCCACGCAGGAACAGGCCTCACTCGCCCACCGCTTCATCTGCCTGCTGGCGCTGTCGCACGTGGTCGCGACATGCTCGCCTGACGACCTGCCTGTTCTCCGAGACCTCGTCGGTACCTGCATAAGGGTTCTGATCCGATTTGCCGAAGCTCACTTCGGTCCCACCGTTCTCGATGAACATTTCTACAGGCCTTCCGGCACCTCGATGGACACAGGCGCTGCCGCGCGCGGATCCTAGGAAGTATGAGATCTCCGTCGCTTTTGCTTCAGCTCATCCACCTTTGCTTGCGGTCTGTAGCAATATCCGTATCGCAACTTCGAGTGGTCACTCTCTTCCAGTTCTTCGAGCGCCCAAGTGACCTATCATTCGTCTTCACTTCTTGTGGGCCTCCAGTCTCTTTGGAAAGCTCGGTCATCGCGCGCACCGTGCTCTCAAAGCTCTCGCCACCCTTAGCTTGCTTCTGCTCTATGCCCTACGCCTGGTCTTAGCCGAGTTACCGGTGAAGCGACTGCGAAGGTACAATACAGTAGGACTAGCTTTTGCACTGGGACAGTACGGAAAGAAGCGACGAGCGACGAGAGAAAGACCGAGTGAGAAGCTGAAAGAAACGAGA